AAATTGGAAACCGGTTGGATGTTGGGTGTGCGGGGGTTTTGTGTTTTGTATCGGAGTAATATCGATTTTTAATTGCCGACGAGCGTTCGGGGACTTGCAGAATATATTTTATCGTTTTGTCGTTACCGGTTCGTTATAACTTGTAGGTTGTGTCAGTTCAAAGCGAGCTCAATTTGCGTGGGAGGTGCTTTTGTTCAATACAGGATAATAAAGAACATTTTTTGGTTGAAAATTCTTGGAAGTTTTATTTGTTCACAAAATAAGGATTTTTGATTGCAATTATCTCGGAAATTAAAAGATATAGAGAGGAGCGGATTAAAGATTATTAATCTATGAGAAATTCTCTATAAGATTAGACAATAAAAAAGGAGAGGTCCAAAGTAATTCAGAAGGAAAAATGTGAATAATATGTTATTTGTCTATTCAGTGAAGAAAACGCGTTGTTATTACGATATTTGATAATATAATTAAACCAATGTCACCCGTGTTTGTTTATTCCAACCAATAACATACTAGGATGCTATTTTTAGCTTTGCTATCTTATTCAGACGAATAGTATTCAATCGAGCGAAAACCGTTCTCAAACGTACGGCACGAATAGTAAAGGGTGGCATCATTTATAGAATTGTATCGATCGTTCTATCGTGGAACCACATAGACACCAGTCGAACGTGATCTTGGTTTGGTTATGCTCAGATAAACTGTCAATCACGCGGGTCATTGAATTTCAACCGGCGGGTTTCTGCGATTGCGTCATTTTTCGGGCAACCGAAAACTATCAATTTACATTTAGAGTAGCTGTGCAATTTGTTACTTAAGACCCATTTCGTTCATTTCGAGTGGTAAAGTGTAGTAATATAGAGTGTAATAAGAGTCGATTACTCTAACTGTTTTTTTACGCGGCTTGTTATTACGAAATCAAAGCGGAAATTAAAAGATAGTCTCAGGCATAATCATAAAGTTATAAATGCTGTGCGTGTTTTAATCAACTTTAGCTCTGTTTTTTTTTTCGGCGAATTTTCATTTTAAGCAAATAAACGTCTAATGAAATTCCCACAGGTGTCATTTATTCCGAGGAGTGTTAATTAAAAGTAGCAATTTATTAATTAAGTTGCAAAATATATTTTTAGCTAAAAATTTCACAGAAAATTAATTTAGTGTATTTCCGGTTATAATTTCTATAATTTCCGGGTAATAAATTTTATATTTCGATAGTTATTGATCTATTACTCCGAATTATCCTAATATCTTATATAAGTTGTCATTAATTTAGTGTTTTAAATCTAATCGCCATTATCTAAGAACTTTTCACTCGATAAACTTTCAACGAATGCGATTTTTCTTTGTTGTTGTCAGTTCATTGTTTCCGTTCTAGATGAAAACGTTTTGTGGTGCGCTGTGTGGCGAAAATAAAATTGAAATTGCTGATGCGTTAATTTTATGAGAAGATTTTTTTCCACATTGTAATTTATTTACTTACTGCGCCTGGGAGGTCGCGATCGCCAAGTCTCGCACACGTCGAGCGCTGAAAAAATTATTGACAGATGATGCACGCGTTCTAATTGCGCGCGCTGCGAACGCGGAAGTGTTAGAAAACGAAAACGAAAAAGGAAGATCGTAATTTCATATCGCGAGACGTGCAAACGCGCGCGCGCGCAATGTTAATTACAATGCAATGGCGAAATTAATTATATCGCAAATAGATTTTACACATCTTACATGCGCCCAACGCCAAGGGCTAGAAAATATTAGTTTTAGGTGAAAAATTAACGCGGAACACGCATTTGACACGTTGGTAAAATGATTTGTCGACTGTCCTGCGATTAGTAATTGAACTTTCCTACCGGTTTCCATCCTGGACACAACACACAACTCGGGCGTCGTTCCATATTTCATCCGCGTGGTTTTTTCGCCATCTGATTAGTGCAGAACGACGCTTTCTAGCCGCACGTCTAAGAATCAAAGTTTGCATTTTCTAATTTCTTTGTGTGGTGTGTCGAAGAATGAAGTACGAAGTACGAAGAGTAATATCGTCATCGGCACTCGCGACTCGGCGTAATTAGTTCACGCCGTGCACACCATAATTCATATATTGTGCATATTTATGGCGTAGGTACTTCATCAATAGATTTTATTATCATGATAATGCGAGTGAAACGAATTAGGCGAAAGTGAAACGCTGTGGCTTGGACTGCTTCGGAAAATCTAGATAATTAAATCGCATGTGTAATAAAACTCAACATCTCTCTCTTGAGATGCAATTAGGTGTTGATACTTTGTACGGATCTCTTTTTGTTTGCCGCGCATCGCTAATTAATACAACACACAAGTGCAAAATTACTGCGGCGTGGAAAGTTTGCATTTTATTACGAAGTAAAAGTAGATAAAATTAATTAGCGCATCTATTCAATTTAATCCGAGATCCAGTTTTAGATCTATTTGATTTTGTTTTGTGTAATTCGACACTAACTACCGTATCGACTCGAAAAAGACGTAAGACTTTCAACATGTCGAAAGTATGTAATGTGCGGTGAAGAAAAATTTGAAATGTAAATGGAGCGTGCATGTTTACGCATCGCGTATACGTATAGAGATAGATGATGTTTGATTGAGATTATAAAGAAGCAGGATTTGGTTTCAATTGAATTTCGTCGGCATCGACGCGTTGAATGTGTGTTTGTCGGCATGTCGTTTGGTTGTAATTGAAAAATCGATCCTAAATGGGATCGTCTCTTGTGTATTTTTTTGAGGTGTGTGTGCATAGATTATTTTTATAGTGTTTCACAATATTTACCGTCGGAGAAAAAAAATATGATGGTGATAATGAAATTTTTAGGTTTTTTAGATTAATATTTCGAGTATTTTACTATAAAAATATGAAAATAGTAGAAATAGTGTTTGTAAAGAATATTGCATGACATTGTGCAAATATATTACCAATTGCTACTGTTTCATCAGTGTATTAAATTATTTATTGCGTCGGAATCATGCAATTTGAGGTGTTGAAAGAGTGCACAACGCTGAACTGAACAATAATTTTGATTTATTTTAGAGGACGCGCACGGATTTGTAAATCACCGCAATTCCAACCGAATTTTTATTAAATTACATTACGTTACAGTTTCATTTCGGCTTTCTTTTTGCAGATTTTATTTATTGCAGGAATTTACTTCCTCATTCGCACATTTTATGATTGATATCTACGTGACTAATTTTGATGTGTTTATTTCGGGCAACTGTGGCATTTAATGTGCTTGTAATACAGATGCTAAAATGTGAATGTCACAAAAATCGATTGTGTTTTTTCTTCTTATCTGCTTTTGGTACAGCAGAGTTCGTTTAAAGTTAAAGTTCATCATCTCACGCAGACTTAATTTAGCTACCGATCAATGAACCATCATTAACTTAATTTGATCATACGCGACATATATGTACACGCACTCGTTATTTATTTTTAAAGCAAACAAAAACGATTTAAAAGAAAATAGAAACGTTTCGCGCATTAAATTTATTCACGACTAATGGGACAACTTGATTGAATACAAATTGGCGGAATTATGATTTTTTAATTCACTTTACGTCGAATCGACGACTCTTGAAATGCTAATGATGCTCTATGTCTCTACTAGAGTTCAAGAGTACTTACTTTAATCCTACTTCTAACTTGTGATTGAAGAGTTTTTTTTATTCGTGCTTTAAATGCATGAATACTGGTTTGCTTTGTTTACTTCGTTTTGTATTTGAATTTAATTGGTTCTTGCAACATGTATCGTTTTTTTTAGTTTCAAGTTCAATGTCTCGGTACTCTCGACCGTGGTTTAATGCATTTTTGGTTACTGTTAGTTTTTTTTTTGTTAAAATTTGATTTTATGATGATTTTGACTTGTTTTTTGACGAAATTGTATGCAATTTGTGTGCATCTTGTGTGGTTTCCAATAACACCATTATTTCCAAGAATTTCCAGCAATTAAACGTCAAATATTCCAACAATCTTCCTGCTTGCCACTTACAAGATGCAAATTGCAATACGCCATGCGTGTGCTCGGATGAAACAAGCAACAAATTTCTGCTTTCTAATTGGCAAGTCACTACTCTGCACGCTAATTGCGTTAAACGGTGCATTAATTAATTTCCGATTGTAATTGATATCACATTTAATACTGCATTCTATCTACTTTTATCGCTGAATTTCGTGGTGATTTAAATTTTGAAATAGTCCGACGAATCTTTTGTCGAATTTGTAAACGAATTTTGAACGCTGAGACACAATTATTGCGTTATGAAAGCGCGCGCTTTCGAACAGCGCACTCGTTTCATTCATAAATTAGTTCGAGTAATTGAAGTAATTGCTGTGTCTAAACTCCTAAACGGCAAACGTCTGCAGCTCTACACGTTCGGTAACGGTATAACACCGAGCACAATTGTGCACAATGTGCGCCGAACGGCTTATGTTTCGGTAATAAATAAAATCATACAATGGTCCGGGTTGTTTGTGCTCAGCCAGGTCCGATGACTGGTGGAGAGTCGTTTCAAATATTTGAATATTATATAATTAGCGTGAATGCACATGGGCACGAGCATGAACGCCCTCGCTTATAAACAACGCTAAAGAGAAAGGCGTGCACTGTATATTTTGCTTACATTTCGTGCATTTGCATATCATCAATCTTGCGTTATCTTGTTTTCACCTTTGCAACCAAAAGGAAACGCAGACAATGCAAAACAAACATTTAATTACTTTGTTATTGCTTATTTAAAGTTTATAGATATCTGGAGATAATGACGATTACAAATGTTGCATTTGTGAGGGCGGGTTTTTCTTAATGTGCGATCGTGTTAATGACGGCAGGAAGGCGTTTGGGAGTGCAACAACCTCGCCGCAAACAGCCATCATCTGTGTCACACAAGTTACAAAACAGACGAGACATCAAGTCACTTTATAATTTCTATACGCGTCTGTCAAGACATAAGTTTTAACTTGTGATATTTTTGCTTTTTAGGGTGGCGAGCCGGGTTCTGGCATGGACTGCTTGCAGTTACGCCAACAGCCGGGTCCATTTCACTATCTAATCAGCGAGCAGGCGAAGTCGCTGGTCGCCCTGCAGGAGTTACAGCATGAGGTGGGCGCCCTGCTCGAGTTTCGCGACCTCGTCATCGAGACGTTCCCGAATCTGCGCACCAAGATGGCCACCTCATCGCCGGCGACGATGATGACCTCCAACATCCCGGTGGCGGTGCGTCGCGATTGGGAGCCGGGAGTGCGCGTCCGCCGCAAACTGCACAATAAGGACGAATCGCGCGCAAAGAAAACGGAATCGTCGGCGGTGCAGGATTCGGGTTTTAGTACGGAGACTAGTAGCAAAGAGACGCACAGCGCTTCTTCCTCATCGGCACCTCCTACATCCGCGCCAGCGGCTGTGGACGAAGGTGAAGCCGAAGACGAATTGTGGAATCTCTTGGATGTGATACATCGCAAAGGCACACGGTTAAAAGACGAAGTGGAGGCGCTGCAAGGCGCGCTGAGGGATCAGGGGGATACCAGAAAGGAATCGGACTTCCAGCGGGTGTTGTTTCATGCGTCCGCCGATGATGTGCGGAATCTACGACATGAGCGTGATATGCTGTTGGATAGAGTGGCCGAGATGGAGGCTGAGGTCCTTGCTGGGCGAGTGCACACGTCCAGACTCCAAGAGGACCTGGAAAATCTACTCTCTACCAAACAGGACCTCGAGGATCAACTACGTAACGTCGTCAGTCAGAGCGGCGAGGTGAACTCGCGCATCCACGACCTTCATCTCCAGTTTGTGACGAAGGATGCCGATGACCGGGTGCAGAGTGCATGTGCTAATAAAGTTTGTGTTAGTACTAGTCAAAGGACGATCAGTAGACGTGGCAGGTCTGATGAGTTGGATCTCGCGCTCGGCGATCAGCAGCCAAAGGTGGCGCTGCCGGATTCGAAGAAGATCGCCGCCATTCTCAAGGAGTATGACCCGATTGTCTTGCAGAAGCATCTGTTGACATCCACCGTTCAAAATCAAGTGAGTACATAATTGAAATGTTTGCGGCTCGTAAAACTCTTCCTTTCTAATTCGTTTTTATTACGCTTCGTGTCATATCTCCATGTCAAATGCGGGCTTGAACACGTTCAAACGTTGAGACGTTGGGAGGTTGTAATTGAAAAGAAAGTTAATGTCTTCTTCTGTGGCGAACAATACTAATTGGCGGTTTTTAATGTCACGCACTGTCATATCGCGGTAGACTCAAGAGCAAAGGTGCGATTGCTCTCTACGTTGCATTGTCATGTTTCGTGTTATAAATATGAAGTTGTAATAAAAATGCTAACTAGCTTTCTTTTGTTGTTGCGCACGCAGGTTCTACAACTGCAACTCGATACTGCAGCTAGATTGGAGCAGAATTTGGTGGACAAACTGGACAAGGCACGAGAGGAAAACGATGAGCTTAAGTTTCAAGTGAGTTGAGTTACCGTACAACTTTCGAACGTGTTAATTTTATGTTTTATGTTACGTTTTAGTTGGAAGATAGAAATATTGAATTGGAAGGAACCAGAGCACATGTTAGAATGTTGGAAAACCAGAAAAAGCCGCCCAGTGGGAAATCTCCGGATATTATTCCCGCTTTGGATACAGCTTCCGAACGGACTGAGATCAGTACATCGAGCATGAAGGCCATGAGTCCCTTTCCTATCAATCAGCAATTGGACCACAGCAGTAGCACAGAATCCGCACAGGACCAAGCGGAAAATACGCGAAAAAGCGTGGAAACACCCCGACGACGACCTAGCAAGATTCCTTTGGGTAAGAGTTACGCGGCACCCAAACCGCCAAGCGGCGGCAAGCACTCTCCGGCACTTGGTGCACCTCGTAGTCGCAGTGGAGAGTCCCCCGGGCGGCCACAATCGGCGCAATCGTGGCGTAACAACAAAAGCGAAGGAAATTCACTTTCCGGAAGCAAGTCTTCGACATCACTGAGCAAATCGCGGAATGGGTCCCTAACTACAGCAAAAGACTCGCTCACCGGCAAGCTGCGCACCAGTGAGTCGCTAACCCGCTCGGGAAAGGACAGTTCGGTGACGAGTTATGGCGGCGGTGGTTCTACGCGCGGGTCGACAATGCGGAAGGGCGCCGCACCTGCGACACCTGTGCGTCGCAACAACAGCATTCGGGACGCGCCCGATTCGAAGGTACGGTCCAAACTATCTTTGTGGAACTGGTGGAAACAGGATCGACTTGCATAGGAGTTTGTTTTCATTTATTTTCTGCTGATATGTGTACAGTAAGTTTTTGCTTGATTTTATTTTAATTTTTTGATTTTATCCGCTCTACACTATTACTCTGCTTGTGAATAATAGCTACTAAAAAGAGATTAATCTGGTCGCAATTGCCATTTTATATCATAAGCTGTAACAGTATGATCATTAGCCTGCTTTTTAATAACAAAATATTATTTAGGACATGTCGGTAAGTAATGCGTGCAATAATTTTCGCGTTACGAGTTGTGTGTTGCTGCTTGCACTTTGTGTGTGGCATGAATGCGATTAATATTATTGAAAGCACCTGCATTATTCAATTTCTTTCACAAGTTTACTGTAATAACCAGTTCACGTACAAAGTAGATCAGCAGATTGGGCCCCAGATTAAAGGTGTTTGATGCAGTTTTAAGTAACTTTTTATATATAGAAGGAAATTACTTTAAAAAATCACTTAATTGTATTGCACAACAATTAATTACGTAAATTGGTTTTAGATTGATTTAAATCTCAAGAAAGCCCAGTGGATTCTTTCAGCGTCGTCTTATCCAAGCGACGTGGAACAACTATACATGGATTCATTGGATAGAATGGATCGGACAGGACCTCCTATGCCGTCGCCAAGCTCACCTACGAAGAATTTTTACTGGGGACAGAATCAACGGGAGCTTTTCTACGATAGTATTGACTCGAATCAATCATCGAGTATGTATCAGGGCGGCGAGGAGCTCGCCGAGTGCGATTCCCTTGAGAAGCAGATTTCGGACGTGTCCGACCGGAAGTTTTAACTATTTATTTTAATTGACACCGACAAGAATTCAAAGGCGCATGAAAACATTCCGCTATGATGTTCACCGTCCAATTCTCATCAATTTGCGTTGAGACAGAATAATTGAATGGAAACAATGCAGAAATCAGTCCTTTGTGTAATCGACAATTAAATAATTAGAAATGAATTACGAGCGTGAATGAAACATATCTGTAATGAATGATGGAGAATATCTATTGTAAAATATGGCATTTGTATATACATTTAAATTACGGGCCGAGTTGAGAGAGAAAAAGAATTTAGCAAATGCGTTTTGATACGATTAGTGAAATGCTTTTAAAACTAAATTATGCATTTATTTAAATACAGCTGAAGATAGAGTTTGTAAATAAAACCTAATATATTTGCTGTGTAGGACTGTGATAGGTAAATATACAGTAGGCTTTTTGAGCAACAATGGAATTCGTAACGACTAAGTATAACAGGCGTAAATCAGGGGATTTTATTAACAAACGGCTCTTATATTCTTCCATTCGCATTCAATTGTATTGCCTCTAGTAAACTTAGCATGAATATTGACTGAACCGGCAACTTATAACAATTACGATAAACTGTAAGCATAATCGATAAGTATGACTATTTCAAATTGTTCCTCAATGTCCATCACATACCAAATCTTCAGATTAAACATTCATTGCGTCGCCTAGCATCACTAACCAGCGTTGACAAGACATCATCAATAAAGAAATTCACGACATTGCTAGCAATCGTAAAAAGTTTTAAGATTAACACGTAATTGTAACATAAAACAAATGCATATTGTAAACGCAAGACTGTTTTATGAATGAATTTGACAGTCGACTTTAGTTCATGCCACAATTTCATGTGATACAAATTTAGAATGCTCATTTTGTAAATTATAATAATTGTATTTAAGTAATCTTTCTTTTTGTGTATTATCTTTTGTGTGCGTTGTGTTTATCCGGACAGCTTTGTGAAGTAAATTTAATTGGTAATGTTGTAATATTTAGACTTATTTAAAACTCTTATAAATGATTATTTGATAATTATACGACTGATTTATAAAATCATACGCATTTTTCTGCTAAATCAAGCGAAGAGTTGTAAATAGCGATTATTGTTTATATTGTAATAATAATGATATTAAATATATTCGAACATTATTACAGTTCGTCTTGTTCAAGTTTAATTTTCCTTACATTGTCCATCTTTTCTAACTTTTTCAGTAAAGTGTGAAGGGTTTTTGTGGTTTCGTGAATGGTTTCCTCGATTTTCTTCAATTGTTCTTGTTGTCTGCGAAAACAACAACCAATTGATGTTAATTATCGAGTTTTTTTCTTATTATTGTAAGTATTACTCAAGAAAATCATCCAACGCTACCAGAGGTTCATCGAATTCGTTTCCAATCTTTTTCTTCTTAAATTCAGCTGCAATTGTCAATATATTGCTTAGTTGTGTCGTTAAGCCCTTTGCAACTTGTAATTTAATGTAATTTATATTTATTTTTGGCCGAAGAACAGGGTCGAACTTATTTTTTTAAAAATGTTTTCGGTCGAACAACAGGGTCGAACTTTTTTCTTAATTTTTTTCGCCGAAACAGTCGAGATTAAAATGCGATTATCTCGAGAACTAAAAGGGCTACGGAAAAAAGGACTTCATATTCTTGATCCTCGCAAAATTCTCTACAAGATAGCGCCCTTATTGAAAATCGACAAATATGCATAAAAAAATTTAACGAAAAGATTTTGTCATAAAAAAGGTAAAAGATTTCTCTTTTTTATGTCGAAAATTAAAAGTTGGAATTTTAAATTTCTGATTGTGGATTTATAATAAACGATTAAATTTGAGTAATTAATCTTAGTAATATTTTCACCTACCATGCTTTGTTTAGGCCCTATTGGCTTGTAAAGATCACATATAGGTAGAATACATTTAAACAATTATTGTCATGTATCTTTTAAAACGTGGCCCAAATTAAAATTATCAACTAAAATAATCGTACCATAAAATTGTGCTCTTTGATAATTAGTGATAAAACAGCTAATTTTTTTAACTTTTTAAAAAAAGTAATTAATTATGAAAAAATTGGCGGAGGCGCCTGACATTTTAAAGAGTAATTTAATTAATAATTATAAACTAACTACCTCAATGTGTAAAGAAGCTCTTAATTAGCCAAATTAAACAACTTTTCACTTAATAACACTAAGCGTTTACCCTCCAGGAGTCATTAAGTAAAATGTGCACTCGCATCGAAACTTAAAAGTCAATTATCTCAAAAACTATAAGAGATAAACAAAAACCGAAAACCCTACGACGTGCAGCAACAAATCGTAGATAAAATAACACTTAAAAAATTTAAAATATAACATGTGCCTACAAAATTTTCCGGCACGATTTTCTCGAAAAGTAATAAAGTTAGAAAAGAACTTTCTTCAATTTGTTCATGTCGTGATAAGGATCTATAAAATGGCAGATTTAGTTTTTCCATTTTCCAAAGTTGACCAAACAGCACTCGAAAAACATCAAGAGGTTACACTTGACTCTTTGAGGCCTCAAAAAATTAACTTTAAGCTAGAAGAAAATGGAAAACGCTAATCGATTGAGTTTTCCAAGGGGATGAAAGATATCAAGTTAGTTTTTCGATAACATCAATATTTCGGAAAATGGGTGGTAAATTCAAAACTGATCAAATAAAACCACCCCTCCGATTTTCCCCAAACTTTCCAAACTGATGTAAAACAAGGCCAGGAATCCATTAATCGAGGTTTGGTTGCGCTATCTTAATTAGTTTTCAAGTTACCGACCATTTTTAATTATTACATAATTGTTGATAGCCGTAAATTTTAACATGCTATATAATGGGAAATTTAATTCTACATACGAATATGAAAACCGTTTTTCTTTATCTCTAATGGTTTTCAAGATAAGTGCGAAAAACTGGTTTATTCGTTTTCTCCATCATTTTCTATGAAAAAAATAAAAATTGAAAATTTGACTTTTTTATTGCATAATATTGAAGAACATGTGATTCAACATACTTTATCTTAATAAAATTTTGTTCTAAAATAAAGCGTTTTGATAATAATCAGCCTAATTAACTTTGGTTTTGTCGCTATTCAAATTTTAATAAAACTGTCAATAGGGCCTAAATGATAAGTGGTAGCACAATATTCCTCTTAAATATTTAAATTATAATTTAAGAAGCTGTCAGAATCCGAAATCAGAATTTAAAAATTCCAACTTTTAATTTCGAACATAAAAAAGAGAAATCTTTTGCCTTTTTTATGACAAAATCTTTTCGTTGAATTTTTTTATGCAATTTTGGTCGATTTTCAATAAGGGTGCTACCTTGTAGAGAATTTTGCGAGGATCAAGAATATGAAGTCCTTTTTTCCGTAGCCCTTTTAGTTCTCGAGATAATCGCAATTTAATGTCGACAGTTTCGACGGGAAAATTTTAAGAAAAAAGTTCGACTCTGTTGTTCGAGCAAAATAAATTTTTAGAAAAAAGTTAGACCCTGTTCTTCAACCAAAAAAAAATTTTAAGAAAAAAATTCGACCCTGTTCTTCGACCGAAAAATATTTTAACAGAAAAGTTCGACCCTGTTATTCGACCAAAAAATAAAATTGAGAAAAATAGGGACAAAAATAGCTATTTTTAAAGTGTATTTTAGGGCACTTCTAAGAGGGTAAGAGGACTGAAAAAATACGTATCGTGTAGAGAAACTATCAAACTTTAATATGGCGGTAAGAAACTATAAAAAAGTCAAGTAGTTCCCAAGATACAGGGTGTTTTCCACACCACGTTTTAAAATTCACTTAAAAATGCCCATTTTTGAAGGACATTTTAGGGCACTTCCAAAAGGGATAGAGAGTTGGGTGAGTATGCATCGTGTAGAGAGACTCTTGATCTTTAATATGGCGGTGAGAAACCCTAAGAAAGTCAATTAGTTCACGAGATACAGGGTGTTTTCCACACCATGTTTTTAATTTTTTTTGAAAAATGCCAATTTTTGAAGGGCATTTTAGGGCACTTCCGGAAGGGATAGAAAGTTGGATGAGTATGCATCGTGTAGAGAGACTCTCGAGCTTTAACATGGCGGTAAGAAACTCTAAAAAAGTCAATTAGTTCATGAGATACAAGGTGTTTTCCACACCACGTTTTAAAATTTCCTTAGAAATGCCAATTTTTTAAAGGGCATTTTGGGGTACTTCCGGAAGGGATAAAAAGTTGGGTGAGGATGCATCGTGTAGAGAAACTCTTGATCTTTAATATGGCGGTGAGAAACTCTAAGAAAGTTAATTAGTTCACGAGATACAGGGTTTTTTCCACACCATATCTTCAATTTTTATGAAAAATGCCAATGTTTGAAGGGCATTCTAGGGCACTTCCGGAAGGGATAGAAAGTTGGATCAAAATGCATCGTATAGAAAAACTCTCGAACTCTAACATGGCGGTGAGAAACTCCAAAAAAGTCAATTAGTTCATGAGATACAGGGGGTTTTTCAGCAAACCAAAACGTAATTCTCAGGCAGTGCGTTAAATTTATAGCAAAAACAATGTGCCGAAACCAGGGATCGAACCAGGGACCTTTAGATCTTCAGTCTAACGCTCTCCCAACTGAGCTATTTCGGCTTATCAACAATATTTGTTGCTGTTGTACTTCACAAAACATTGTTTTCAAACAAACAAGAAATTTAAGTAATATGTACATACGCTCAGGTTGTGCTTTCCCTTCCAACAAATCAATCAACTTCTGCTTATCAAATTGTTGAATCTCCGCAGATGGATCAATATTATATCGTGCTAGAAACATCTCAATTTCCAAATCAGCAAAACCAATTCTAAAATACAACATTTTGTATCAAAGTCACGCTAATTATTTTCGAGTATCGTTTCGTGCAACCGTTTTAACGCGCCCTTGATCTCAGACGTAGTCATCTCAAACTCATTACGTTGAAATTCTTCAAACTTAACATATTTCCCAAGGCCTAGCTTGATCAAAACATTGTAATAACCACGCTTTACAAACCCAGACATTCGCATCTCTTCCGGTGCGATTGCCAACTCAGTCTTCACATCGACATAAGTATCATTAATAATCGCCAGAAACATGTTCTACAATTAAATTTGAAAGAAAAAATCTTTCAACTTACTGCAACATGTATGACATACCAATAACACAAAGAATACCAAAAATATAAACATCAAAAAGAAGATGGGCGCAATCACACGATTTGCCTTCTCGATATCAGTGTAATCAAAGTCGCCCAAAATCGTGCGCAACAATGTAAACATCGCCAGATAGAAAGTACTAAACGTTTCCACCTCCGTACCAAAGATTAAATACCCCAAGATGGCGAACGCAATAAAAATAATAAAAAACATCATACCAAAACCAATCATATCCTTACGACATTGCGACAGAGTCCTGTTAAGTTGCGCCATACTCTTGTTGAAGTTCAAGTACTTAAATATCTTCATGTAAATAAAGAACAACATCGATGACAACAACAATCTGTAGAAGAACATTCTCTGCATAAGCACTTGCATGTTAGCGTGAACCTCTGGCCTATCAATCAGAGTCAATAATCTTTTATGTATGGATATTTCTGAATAGATTCGAAGTCCAATTGCAGCATAACCAAACTAAAAATAGCAAGAAATATAAAAATATTTGCTTAAGTTAAGTGTACTTATACAGAGATAATAATGAAATCAATCCACGTCCAAAACATAAGCAGATACTTCCATTTGAAGTACACAAACTCTCTAATTTCTTCTATAGTGTAGTAAATCAGAAACATTATGCAAATAATTTCGCAAGCAAGAATGAAATAATCGTATTTGGTTTGATGACGTAGCAGGGAACACATATGCGCGCTGGGCATTGTCACCACACCGCCGGTTCGGGGAAACTCAAAAACCAAACGAAATTGCAGAAAAAGATTCAGATTAGTGTTATACATAGTCCAATCGAGAAAAATCGCCCTTGTCCCGCGAGTAACCCACAGATTATTCTTGAGATCTTCAATAATCGCCTTGGTTTCATTCTTGTACAAACTTAAATCTTTGTAGTAACCTCCACCGTGGTACCAGGCAAACTTACCAAAGTGTCTTGAGTCTTGTAGTTCAGATTCACTAGTATATCTCCATCTGTAAAATATTTAATAATAATTATTAGTATAATATTAGTTGATATTTATTGATCTGTACGCGGAGTCGGATCCAGGACCAAATGTAGCTGTATCTTCATTTTTCCAATTAAACTTCCCGAAGCAATTGAGGAAAACCTTTTAAAGTAGCTGTGAATCATGCAAGAATCTCCACGGACTTTCAATTGTCTTAATCTTGGCACACCGATTAATTTGTTTTCGTAAAAGACATAACGTTCGTTGATATTAGCAGGAGCTATGTTATGCACAGGATAATACCAATAGTCCCAGTAGAAACTGTTCTCGAAGAAGTCATCTAGAAAAGTCCAAAATTGTGAAGGGGTATTAATATCATAGAAACCATTGTTCTGCAGCATTTCATTCTCCATTAGCTTGAATAAATTGTGAGCTTCCGGTTCGATCGCACCCAAACTAGCAATTGTCATAAGAATCAAAAATATGATGAAAAATAATGTGTCACGTAATGTTGTTAGTAAAATATATTCACGACCCATTATTTCGGCAATTTCTCGTGTTACCCATGTTTCTGAAAATAAAATAATAGAAAAATTAATTGTTTAAATATTAATTATAAGTTAGGCTACGTTTTCCGTATTTTTCTTAATGCGTTGTATCTTCGTGTTCATTTTAATTTTCTCCATTTCTTCTTCCTGTGATTCGATATTAATAATATCGCTTTGTTCTTTGAAACTTTGTTCTGAAAAGTATTTTATGTAATAATTAGTGTTTCAAAACATAAAATTAATACGTGGTTGATCTCCATCTCCATCTCCATCATCTTGTAAAACTGGCGAAGGTTCTGTTTGCTCCAAAACCTTTTTATTTTTCTTTATTTTAATGAGTTTTAGTTTTTTTCTAAGACTTAGACGTACACTTTTGGTTCTTTATCAATATTTTCTTCAACATCCATAGTTAATTCTATAATAAATTAAAAAGAAACATTTTCAAAGCTTTACGGAGCTTTTTGAATTCAAAATCGGTAACATGTTGAATGTTGGCGCTTGCGCATTTTGTTCATAACTAAAGTTTAGGTTACCTTGTACCTCTCCCGTTTTATTATAAATATAATTCTTAATATGCTCATTATTTAACTTTTTTACTTTTATCATAACGTATTTTTTATCAACCCGTAACTAAATTAAGTTTACAATGATTTTATTCAAGCCAAAGTTACACATACAGCATATCAATGCCATTCTGAAGCACCAACTCCCAAAATCAGTGGATGCAAGCAGGTAAAACTCAAACAAAATGCCTCAAAACATCAAAATAACCATTGTAACTATAAATATTTCAATTCTAGAGTCACTCTGGCTTATTTTGCATTATCTGGTCTGGATATCCTGGACAAATTGGATGTGATACAAGAGAATGTTGAAGGATACATCAACTGGGTTTATCATTTGCTATGTCTGCAAAATGATGGTATTTATAGCAAGAAATTGAATGTCTATTAGTATTTTAACATCTTTTATGTTGAATTTTTAGCTGCTGGCTTCCAAAACTTTGCCACATTCAACAACATAGAGTATTACTGCTCAGGTCATATAGCAGCAACATATTCTGCTCTCAATATATTGCTTATTCTAGGTGATGACCTCAGCCGAGTCAATAAAGATAGTATTATAAAGTGTAAGTAAACCAGTTTTTAATTACACATGTTTCACCTGTCAACTTTTTGTCCACAGCATTAAAATTATTGCAATTAGAAGATGGAAGTTTTATGGGGTCTGGAAGTGGTTCAGAGAATGACATGAGGTTTGTCTACTGTGCAGCCAGTATATCATATATTCTAGATGATTGGTCAGGCATCAATGTTGATAAAGTTGTTGATTTTATTTTAAAGAGTGTTGTAAGTTAATTTTAATCCTGTATTGCTATATTTGTTAATTTTCGCAATTTGAAACCTAGTCATATGATGGTGGAATTGGCCAAGGCCCAAATTTGGAATCCCATGGCGGATCAACGTACTGCGCAATAGCCACACTAGCCCTAACGAACAAACTGCACAAGTTATCATCGTCACAAACGCACAATTTAATCGCATGGCTGCTACGCTTACAAGAAACAGGATTCAAAGGCCGCCCGAATAAAGAAAACGACACATGTTACACCTTTTGGGTGGGCGCCACCTTAAAACTCCTCGAGAGCTATGATCTAGTAAACAAAAAACTCCTAAAGAATTTTGTTCTATCCTCACAGGACTTCCGCGTTGGCGGATTTAGCAAATGGCCCTCTTACGAGCCTGATATCCTGCATACCTACTTCAGTCTCGCAGGATTATCGCTAATGAAGATGGAAAAACTAAACGAAATCGTACCAAGTCTGAATATGACTCAACGCGCCGTCGGACACCTCATGGACTTGCACAAAAAATGGCGAGGGACGTAAATTATGTAAACGCATTGTACACGTTGAAAATTCACAAGAAAATAAATACTATATTAACATGTTTTTTGATCGTATGTTTTTCCTGCGGTTAATTTATGAGGGTCTCGCTGTGTTTTGTATTTTTTTATTCAGTGTTGAACACTGAACAGAAACAGAAGCGAAACAAGTAAAAGTAGAATAGGAGTAGAAGTAGCAGCGCAGTGTGTGCGCAGTGCGCGGCTACCGCAAAAATTGGGAGTGGAAACGCTTCGATTCGGGCACCGAAGGACCGGATTCAACAGTTGAAGTTCAGGCGAGCGCGAGCGCGTACCGAGGGGAAGAGGAAAACACTTCGATCGCGTGTTGAAACATTTTCGCGAATCGTCATTAGTAAATTTATGACTAATGATGATAAAGTGATTCATTAAACACTAAACATTTGGATTATCAACGTATATTACGCAGTGTATAAAACTATTAAACAATATATGGTAAAAGGTAAGATAATTTTGTTATTATTGCATTGCCAATGCGTTTTTGTTGTGTTTGGGGATTCGATAATATGCGTAATCGTATGTAATCAAAACCAACATGTCGCTTCAGCAAAAAAATCGGCTGCATGTTAGCTTATGCAAATAAATCGACGAAGCGTGGAGTAAATTGTTATTCAAGTGCCACCGTCTGCCGTAAATAAATACACTTGGGATTGTGGTTTGCGGAATGGTATATAACTTCGTATGTGTTTAATTATAAAGAGAAAATAGAAAAAAATACAGAAAACCGATCGAAAATGCGGGTAAAATCTAAAAATTCAATCGATAAACATTTTTATTTAATTTTTTAGGTTTTAATAATTATACCTCATTGATATTCCATTCAAATGACCAATTTAATATTCCGAAAGCTCCAAAAATGTTAATTGCTATCGATATGAATGTTAATCAAAATAACGGACTTCCAAACCGAAAAATAAAAACAGGAAGTTTACTGCGAGAATAAATTGATGCTAGTAAGGGCACGCGACCGTTAAACACGTATCATTGTTCTTCCAAGACGTTGAGGAAGCGCGCGAAGAAATAAAATTGCGTTTGAAGCACACCTGGCCCCCTTGACACCCGATACGTATGTGTAAGCATGTGTAGAATTTGTACAAAGGCAGTATTTAGCCGACAGCTGCAAAGTTCTTTGCCGCACGCCATCTTGAGCGGAAGAACAAGCTCAAGAATAAGCTCAAAGTGTGCGGACGTTAGAAAGGGGGCAGCCAGCTGGAAAGCCATACAAAAATAACGATCTTTCTGCGATGAAACGAGAATGAAATGAAAATTAAACACAAACGAGTTTAAATTCAAATTAACATTCAAATTTTCAGCGAGATTATTCATTGCATAAATGAAGTTACGAGTATAATTTTAAATGGAATTTCCGTTGAAGGAAACAAGAGCGATAAGAATGGTTGCTGACGAATTATCCGAAATACACAAATAGAAACAGTCACACATACAAACAAAAGATAATGAAATGTAAATATACAAATAATTGTGGTCAAAGTTTGAGTCCATGTAATAATCAACCATTATCTGGTTGAAAAAAGAAGTAAAAACAAAACGTGTTGTTTTTGCAAGTCTGCATTCTCAGTGAGAAACTGAGAAATTGAGATTTATACCAAAGTGTAGTTTCAAAGCTCTAAAGCTTCACTGCTTCGATGGTCCTTGACCCGCAATAAATTTCAATTAACTGCACGGCTTTCCCTCTGAATAAATGAAGATGAACTACTAAACATACTCGCTACAAAGTAGAGCTTACAAACTTGATGTTTGTTCGCCAGCGATCAATTTGAATAGTTTTCTTGTTACAAAACATTTTCCATGACGAATTGTATGCGTATTGTCTTCTATTTTCAATTTTCATCTGATTACACATCATACTGACTCATAGTTATGGCTGTGAGTCTACTTGCGCATGGATTGTTTGAAAACACTCATTGTAATTTGTAAATTCGTGCGGTTGATGTCGACAGTATTCCGACTCGTAACGGTATCGCGTGCCTGTACTTTCGACCTTGCGTTCCTATCAAGGACGCCTTTTTTATTGGATTAACTTATAACTTAACTCATGCGTTGACTTTCCTTAACATTTACATATACCTATTAGTTTATTCATTAAAAACTTTCTTTAGTAATCAAAATAATTTAGAAAAAAATTAAATTAATTATTGCTAATTTATTCTGATGGGTGTTACGTAAGCAACTCCCACATTGTAACAGTAACAACAACAATAGAGTTGGAGTTGATCTAGTCGAGAAGCACTAAGCAGGATAGGATGACAGTGTAATTTATTTGCAAGCGCCAAGCCTGATAATTACAACGAAACTATGTCAGCCGTATTAAATTCCCTAAAGCTAACTGCAATAACCAGTAAGATAATACGCTGTTTATTCATTATTGCGAAAACTTGAGAATATAAACATCGAGCGAAATTGCAAACGATAAGCATTCAGGTGAAAATAGAGCTTTTTGAAGTAGCATAGCGACGATAAAAACGTTTTATGTATTTCCAAAGTGGCACTTAAAAAGCGATACTCATCTACCGCAACTACAAATTGTCGCAAGACGACTGCGAATACAAATAGCGTCGAGGGTGGACTTGAAACTTTCCGTTTGCACGACTCGCAAGGATAATGAGTCCTTGGGAAGAACAAACTTTGAAGGCTACTAAAGGAAAGTTTTCACTACGTAGAAATGAAATTATTATCAAAATGTATAATTTCCGCTCTGTTTGGTGCAATTTGAAGTTTTTAATTTTATTTTCAACGAGTGTGTTTTCAAGCGCATCACCACGATTCAATGCCTCCGAAGAATGTGAAATGAAGAAGAGTCTTGTCTAAACAATTAAAATTCGAACAAAACATTAATTAACTCACATATGCAGCGTGAGAGGTGACCCAAAAACCATTCAAAACAACCAACTAGGTTAATAAAAGTACTGCAATGCAAAAATGACGTCAGTTTTATAAAATGCGGCGTAATTTCATCAGTGCATTCATTTGTCCTCACAAACAAACAGAAATATTATGACTTCTAGAGTTCCAACTCAGAAACAAAGAGAAAAATAGAATAAAAACTAAAATATTCAGGCCAAGTACGCTGTACATCAAACTATGCACGTAGTTTTTTCCGTGCAAAGTTTCCTGAACTTTGTGTAAAACTTGAGTTCATTTTTTTTTTTCGGTGAGACAGCCGAGGACGAGCCGTAACAATGTTTATGACGGTCGACGGTTTCACGGGTGGTTGTTATCGCTTGGGGCGGCGACGGTAGAGGCGGTAGCGAACGGCAGGTATCGATTCGCGGCGGCCCCGAGCTCACAATGTCATTTCCCATGTACTTACAACCCTCTTACAAAAACCTGCCGCACATCACGGCCGTAATAAGTGTCATATGCTGCTAAATCATGACGTCATTATACCTGATATCTGAATATTTTAATGTACCAACCGGAGATAATTTGTAATTCAACAAATTGACGTCAATATCATATCGACTTGACTAATGAATAACTAATAAATAACTAATAAAGCAATCACAACTCAAAAAATATAGTAATAGTAATGTATGGTTGATTCTGCAACCAACTATACACATTACTACCTTAACCTATTTTTTAATACATTATTTTACGTAAACAATGAGTTGTATCAAGTAAATGTACTTGAACCTTGTTTATGGTATATAATACAATCACGAGTATATCTTATAACTTCGCATCATTGTTTCAGAATCTCAATAACTGTTTTCCAACGTGAGCGGAAAACACGTGCAGAAAATGCACGCATGTCTCTAGAGACAGCTATATAAGAAGCTGGTGATTACACCTTACGTATTCCTTCCGAGAACTTTGTTGGATAAGCACAAGATGAGTACTATCGTCGAATTGGAAAGTTGGGTGATTTATCAGTGCATCGTCAACGAGTGCAACTCATGTCTATGTAAGTTTTCTTATCTGCACTTTTTATCGCATTATTAGTTTATGTTTTAATTATTATTTTACACACAGGATTTTCTCCCCCGTATAAAGTGCATTGTTTTATTTACACTTTTGATTTGATTTGATTCCCTATCAATTATCATATTGGAATGTTGGATCCAGGTATGTTTTATTTTCATTTTTTTATTTGTCACCGTCACCCACTTCCAACAAACATGCAATAATCACTTTACTTTAAAGTTTCTTATCTTATCATGAAAATGCTTCAAATGTGCACATTTTACACATAAAACATTCATTTTCAACTGTGCAGTTGAATATTACTTATATTACCTACGTTTCTTTTGTGTACGATGGCTGACAATAAACAAAAAACAGAAACAAGTTGTAATTGATAAATATTTAAGGTTTTTGTTTATTGATTTGAGTTTTTTTGTATAGTTATGAGTGAGAACGCGTTCAAGGCGCGCGACATCGGCCTGCGCGCCCAGAAGAAGATCTTGTCACGAATGGCTACCAAGAATGTGGCCAAGGCCTTTATAGACGACAACACCTCTTCACTTTTGGATAATTTATACCGGCTTGCAAAACAATATGTAAGTAATACAATACTCCAATTTTTATGCATAAAATTTAATTTTTTTGTTGAAATTTTCTAGTCAAATAATAAAAAAGAAGCCGAAAAAATAGTCAAGAATATAATCAAAGTAGTCATCAAGCTGGCGGTAACCCAGCGCAACGACCTCTTCAGTAAAGAAGAACAACGTCAAGCCGAACAGTTCAAAAACAAGTTCCGAAAGGCCGGAATGAGTATCGTCAGCTTCTACGAGGTGGATCACAGCTACGATCGCAACTTTCTGCTCACAGCACTGCAAGAGTCACACGCTTGTCTTATTTCCGTCGTGTCGAAACACCTCACCGAGAAATCGCTCATGCGTATCGATAGCGTTTTCCAATTTTTCGCAAATGAAAAATTCTTAGACACTGTCTTTGCACCCGAGTCAGAATACCGCGAGGTTCTTGGACGATTAGTCGAAGATTTAAACAAAGCCATTGATCGAGGGATTTATAAAGATAAACGCAGATATTTTAGTGTTTAGAGAAGTGAGTGTCAAAAGAGTCAAAAATGTACTTAATATTTCGTACATATCGCTATGAAACATATGGAAAATTATTTATTCTTCAACCAAATTGATGCCTTGACGAAAAAATCAACATTCGAGGAATACGTAGTCAAATGTTTAGTCACTAAAACATAGATCTGATCTATCATAGAAGTAGTCTATGTAAATTGTAAATAATTGTATTGTTAGCGTTAAGAAATGCAATTGCAAACCAACCGAATTGTACTCGTTAGATGTAAATGCCACTACACAGGGTTTCTAACTTTTGTATTACAAATATTGGACGACAATAAGTCTATAACTCTAGAAATACCATCGACTTGTCCACATCTCGAATGAATTTGCATGTGGGAAGCAATAAAAATCGGTTCAATAATTGTTTACATGTCTACACTCACACTTTTGCATATCATTTAAGTGAATATTAAATAATACACGTATTGGGCACAAAATATTATTATAATATTATTCTAAGAGTCAAGAGTCAGGAGAAAAACGTTAATTTCAATTGTAACTATTAAACTTTTTGTTATCAACTGATTAAATGTAATTTACTTCTATTCTCGAGTCGTTTAACTTGTTTAAAATGATTTATAATGATGATAATAAGATAATTGTGTTATATAACAGTGTCCTTGTTGGGTTTTAAGGCTCAGTTCTCAAAAAGTTACGACACTGGTAAGTAAAGTAAGATTTTTATCTTTTTTTCAAAGAAAATAATTAAAATTTCTTCATTTTAGAACCAAAATAATGTCTCTGAAGGAAGTTGTGATTGTAAGCGCTGTAAGGACACCCATAGGATCATTCCAAGGTGCTTTATCACCATTATCAGCCCCCGAATTGGCTAGTATAGCAATAAAATCAGCTATAAAACAATGCAATATCCCGAAAGATGAAATTAAAGAAGTTTTTATGGGTCAGGTATGTCAAGCTAACTCAGGGCAAGCTCCAGCACGTCAAGCAGCAATTTTTGCTGGTCTTCCTGATAGTACAATCTGTACTACCATTAATAAAGTATGCGCTACTGGTGTCAAAGCTGTTAATTTAGCTGCGCAGACAATAGAAACCAACGCGCAGGATGTTTGCCTCGCTGGAGGCATGGAATCTATGTCCAACATACCTTATTACTTAAAAAGAGGTCCTACTCCTTATGGTGGTGTGTCTCTTGTAGATGGAATCATCTTCGATGGTCTTACAGATGTTTATAATCAAATACACATGGGGAATTGCGCGGAAAATGTAGCGACGAAGCTAGGCATCACCCGTGAGATGCAAGATGAACACGCGATTAATAGCTACAAACGTGCGCAAGATGCTTACCAAAAGAAACTCTTTGATAAAGAGTTAGTTGAAGTGCAAGTACCAAATGTTAATAATAAAAAGGCCGCTGATGTGTTGATCACTGAAGATGAAGAGTATAAAAAGGTTGATTTTGATAAGCTGGTGAAACTCCCAACTGTGTTCCAACAAGATGGCGGAACTGTTACTGCTGCAAATGCGTCTACGTTGAATGATGGTGCAGCTGTGTTGATACTTACAAGTCGTGAAGCAGCGAATCGCCTTGGTTTGATACCTCTGGCCAAGGTGATTGGATATACTGATGCTGCGATTGCTCCGATTCACTTCCCAATGGCTCCAGCGAAGAGTATCGCCGCCTTGTTGAATAAAACAGGTGTTGATAAAGAATCCGTAGCGATGTGGGAGATAAACGAGGCGTTCAGTGTCGTACCGCTGGCGAATCGTAAACTTTTAAACCTAGATGCTGCTAAAGTTAATATTCACGGTGGTGCGGTGAGTCTAGGACATCCGCTGGGGATGTCGGGAGCAAGGATTATTGTACATTTGGTTCACAATTTGAAACGAGGTGAAATTGGCGTTGCGTCGAGTTGTAATGGCGGCGGTGGCGCGTCTTCCATCATGATTGAAAAAGTTTAATTTTAAGCTTACTTTTGTAATCTCGAATTCTCCGTAGTGAATTATATGTCATTTTGAAGAAGAAATAATTGTCTATCTACTGATATCACTTACTTGTGTTATTTCGGGGATTTCTTGAAGAAAATTCAATTTTAGTGCGGAGCGAAAATCGGCGTGACGGTTTGTGAAAAAAGACGCTTGTTCTACATAGGCAACCACATGTACAGCTAAGTATGAATATTAATATAGCACTGTAACCTGTTTGTTGTTTGCATGACAACATGAATTTGAATAAATAAATGCTTACTAATGCATGCCAAACTCACTGAAACTCATAATTGTTTTTTTGGCTCGATTTACAAAACATTTACGTCGTATCTGAACGCGTGATTTTATAAACTGCGCAGTGCGGTACCAACTTAAATTTTATGTCAAATATTCTCTAAATATTAATAATATCAATGTATGAGATATTTTAATTTATAATATTAATAATTATTTGTAATATTTAAGTTATTTAATTGTGTTTAAACATAAAAATAACATAAATATTCGTATTTATGTTTGAAAATTTATTCACGACATTTCCCGATGATGCCCGCTCGTGTTCTGTCAAAATAAAAAATCGTATTTTCCATGCTGTCAAAGTCGCGGTCGTTGATAACGATAATAAGTAAACATCGCCACACGACGATAATGGCGCACTGATGAGATCGATCAGTAATTAGCAAATTTACCAAAATTCTTCGTACTACATAATTAAATTCGCGCGCGCGCGGTTAGTTTAATAACGCAGCGCGTAACAAAGTCGTGAAGTCACAAAGTCACACTTCTACGCATACACAGTGTACACGAAATTAAAAAAATATACACACACTATAAAAATACGATCTGTGATAAGGATAACAAAGAGACGGCAAGTTGGATGTGTTAGCGGCGAGTGTCCAGTGTGTTAGCACAGTAAAAACACCAGCAATTCGCACTGCTATCAACAGTTTTTGGGTGAAATAGTTTGGAAAGCGCAATTTCCAGACGACGAAAACAAGTCTTTGTTGATTGCGTCACACACGCGTTCGCGGAGAGTGGACTCGCGGGCCTTGAAATCGCAACAAACCCGACGACGAATTTTTCATTTTGCTGCTGCAGTTTACAACCTGCTGCCATCCTCATGTGTGCTGTGTGACTAGCAAACACAACAAGTCTTTATTTTTTATTTTTATTTTTGGTTAACAAGCACTTGTCGAGCATGTCGAGTGTCAGATGCAAGCTGGCCAGTGCTGGCAAATTGGCGATAGTGGTGCGGAATTCGAAAGTTACAACAAATCGTAAGTAAATTTACAAAATTGGTTAAAAACATAACCTAGGCGTGCTTTTTTGACGTTTGTGACATTGGTCAAGGTCATGTTAGGGGCACTTGATTATAACCTTAAATTTAATCATTTTTAAAGAGTAAATGTGATAAAAATTAGGATAAAATGTAAATTTAAGATGAATTGTAAGTAAATTCATCGAATTGCTTATGTTTTTTATGATAAAAGAAATAAGGTTATGTTTTGGGACCCTTTTTGACAGTTTTCAAGGTCATTTTAAGGGTACCATGATTTAATTAATTAAAAATGATGTTAAATGTGTAAATATAATAAAAATGAGGATAAAACCATATGGTCATGGCAATGCTCGAGGCATTCAAGGTCCCCGCGAATACCAAAAGAGTAAAAAATGAAATTAAGCAAAGTCAGTGACATTGACACGGTTATACCTACGCAATGCAAGTCCAAAAACAAATTTCAAGGGCAAACAAATACACTTGGCATCTTTTCAACTGCATAAATAAAAAAAAACCTGAGTGTGTGTGACTTACCGTTGCAGGTTTTATTCCACTATTCACCTACACATCGGTGCCGAAGAGGCAGATAGCGACATGCCAGCAACTGCTGAAGTCAGCAGCGCCCGGCGGTGATAACACCACCGGCAATACCACACCGCCACCACCGCCGCCGAATCTTCCCGGCGGCGGCGGCAAAGATGCATCGACCACTGGCGGCGCCGGCGGTGGCAAAAACAAAAACACTCTCTCCTGCCCGAAGTGCGGCGATCCCTGCACGCATGTGGAGACGTTCGTCAGCTCGACGCGCTTCGTCAAGTGCGAGAAGTGCCATCACTTCTTTGTCGTCCTCAGCGAGGTGGACAGCAAGAAGAAGGAGGGCGTTGATAACAAGACGGGGTTCTATCGCAAACCTCCGCCGCCACCGAAGAAGATCTTCGAGTATTTGAACAAGCATGTTGTTGGGCAGGAACATGCTAAAAAAGTATGAAAAATTTAATCATTTTCAGTGTTTACAAGTATTAATTGTTGATATTTTGTAATGTTTAGGTGTTATCCGTGGCTGTTTACAATCATTATAAACGAATCTATAATAACAGCCCCAATAATAGTCCAGGGGCTCGTCAAGACATGGCTGTGATGGAGCATGGACCTCATACAAGTTTTTCTCACCGAGGTAATAAGATTTTTATAGTTTAGTCTACATACAACCGCGAAAACTGTTCAAATTCGTTCGTTTTGGTTGAAAAACCGGTATTTCAAAACCATTTCCCTGTATTTTCATGCTTTGAGAAACTCTAAATCCAAAATTTACTGTTTTTCTTTCTGTTAAATTCAATATCATTGCAAATATTCAGACCTACCACCTATGACAGGAATTGGAAGCCTTGGCTCGATGAATTTCAACATGGCCGCTGGTCAACAACAACCCACAGAGTCCCGCACCGGAGGTTCGGACATCCTGGACCGCACCACGCACGAATTAAAACTAGAAAAGTCCAATATTCTGCTACTAGGCCCAACTGGCTCCGGGAAAACCCTGCTGGCCCAAACAATAGCCCAATGCTTAGATGTTCCTTTCGCCATCTGCGATTGCACCACTCTCACACAGGCGGGTTACGTCGGTGAAGATATCGAGAGTGTAATCGGTAAACTTCTGCAAGATGCAGGATATAGTGTGGACCGGGCGCAAATCGGTATAGTTTTCTTGGATGAAGTCGATAAAATCGGCGCCGTGCCCGGGATACATCAATTGCGTGATGTTGGTGGTGAGGGTGTACAGCAAGGCATGTTGAAGATGTTGGAAGGTACGGTTGTGAATGTACCAGAGAGGAATTCACCGAGGAAGTTGAGGGGGGAAACGATACAGGTGGACACGACGAATATTTTATTCGTTGCTAGTGGTGCTTATAATGGGTTGGATCGGTTAATCGCGCGTAGAAATAATGAAAATGTAAGTTTAGATGTAAAATTTTTTGGGGAATATTAATTTTTTTAACTTTTGGTTACCTTTGAAAGGTTTTTGGCTTCGGTGCGCAAGTTTCCGGCAATCAGGGACGTCGAGCAGCTTCTCAACAAGCGCAGAATCAGTCGGATTTGTCCGCTGAGGAGGAAAATCAAGAGCGCGACTTGTCGTTAAGGCAAGTTCAAGCTAGGGATCTCATTGATTTCGGTATGATTCCTGTAAGTAAATAAAATATTAGAAAATTTGTGTAGAAATGTTAAAATTTATGTTTTTGCTAGGAATTTGTTGGAAGATTCCCTGTTTTGGTACCCTTCCACAGTCTGGATAGGAAAATGTTGGTGCGGATACTCAGCGAGCCGAAAAACGCGTTAATCCCGCAATATCAACGACTTTTGGCGATGGATCAATGCGAATTGACGTTTACGCCGGAAGCGTTGAATGCCATCGCACATTTGGCAATGGAGAGGAAAACCGGTGCTAGAGGATTACGTGCTATTTTAGTAAGTCATTAAAATATATCATTTTCTTCTTAGTTTTTAGATAAAACTTAACTAACATTTACTTTAGCGCCATCTGGCGGTATATCAACTTCCAACACCTATTTAACACCCTTTGCGTTATAATATCCAATCAAAAATTGTTTTATATTCTTCTCAATCCTATTGAGAATATTTATACAAAATTTCATGATGATCCATTGAATAGTTTCTGCGTAAAAGCGTAACAAACAAACAAACACACTTAAAACCATAAAAATCACATACCAATGTAATTTTCTTGCAGGAATCATTACTCCTAGAACCCATGTTCGAAATCCCCGGCTCTGGCATAACCGAAGTCAACGTGAACGAGCCCTACGTGCGTGGTGAAACCGAAGGACCTCAATATGTGCGTCGCGCAGTCGAGCCCAGCGAAGACGAAGACCTGCAGACTTCTATTAGGATATAAACATACAAAAACACACAAAGATTATGATACAAAATATTTAAACAATATATGATATTGGATACTATCCATGTATGCAGCCTAGAATCCGACATGTGCGATGTGTTAGAGAGAACTCGTTGCGCTTCTTGTGTGATTTTAATCGAGTAATCAAATTAGTTCCTTTATTTTTATCTCTTATCAATATACAATTGTTATATATAAATTAAACAGCTGCAATTGCACCGATTTATGAAAGAAGTTCTGTTCTGTTTGTTTGTGGAATGTGTGCAAGTTGTAACCGAAATTAAAAGTTCATATCGATATCGTTGCCGAAAACCATCTCGACTGCCGCCTGGACATCACCGGATGTCAATTGTAAAGCTCGGATGTTTTGCGTCTCATCCAACAAGCCCATGTCGCGCATTTGTTGTAATTGTGGCTGGAGACGTGTGCGTAAACTCTCTAAACTTTCATCATCGACGATTGGATTATTTCTTGGTGTTGTATTACTACTGTTAGTGTTGTTTACACTTGTAAAAGCTTGTTGTAATGCATTACCAAACATTTCATTCGTGATAATCGGTGGGGATGTATGATTTGCATTCGAAGCAGATGCCGATGATGAATTTGTGTCTGTCGAGCTGAAATTTCTGGCGTTTGCGAGCGCTGCGGAGAGTTGTTCGGTTGTTATCGCAACGTATGATGAATTTCGAGGTGCTGAGGCGTTTCCTTCGCGTGTTGTATCGTTGTTTGTTGTAGGCAGCGGGTTGTTGTCCATGTCTTCATCGTCTGAGAGGGATTCTAGTGAGTATGCGTTGGCTGTGCTTGTGGAGGCTTGATTGGAAGTGGAGCTGGAGCTTGGGGTGATTGGGTTTTCACGCAGGTAGGTGGTGATTATCGGCAGGACTTCGGCGATTATTGGGTGGGAATCGAGGACTTTGCGCAGGACTTCGGGGTCTGAAAAGAGAACTATCATTTCGGGGTCGTTGAGCAGGCCCAGGGCTGCTGTGTCGTCGTAGATGTCTGGCACAGCGGCGAGGAGCTTTGTGATTGCTTCTTTTCTTGGAAATTTCTAAACAAACATGCGTGATGCAAGATTTTACAAATATGATTTGTAAAATTCGATTGTATTTATCATAAAATGAAAAAATCAATTATTATCGAGGATTTTTCATAAATAAATTAAATATTCAACGTTTTTCTCATAAAAAACTGAAAATTTCGATGTTTTTCTCATAAAAAATTAAATTTTTCATAGTTTTTCTTAATTTTTATCAAAACTACTTGTCCGATATGCTTCAAAATTTGCACAAATACTCATTATATGTCTCTTCATAACATAAATAAATTTCAAGAAAAAATATCAACAATTCTTCTTGTTATAACAAAATAATCAACAAAATCACATTTTCATCAATTGCACCCAGTAAAACATACAAAATCACATTTATAAATACCTGTACAAAGTTTTTATGTCCATATTCTTCCATAGCACTAAGAAATCGTTGCATATCAGCATCTGATAAAGGTTTCGGCACCCTTAAAGGTTTAGGTTTGTCTTTTGTGAGAACATGAATGGTGCGACCGGATTTAAAGCTGTAGAATGCTAGGGTGTGTTGATCTTCTAATTCTGCTCCAGCATAGACCAAATCTATAATATATACATTAAAAATATTAGTTTATATTCAATTTAAAATAGAAAAACACATACCTAAGTCTTGCACTGGTCGCTGAACAGTTTTGCTGGCTTGTTCTCTGAGTAAACTGATTTTTTCTTCGAGATCCACATCGACTTTCACACGATTTTCTAACTTCTTATCAAGTCGTATTGCTAGGACAGCTGTAGCACTCATAATTAATCTTTTCTTCACTTGTTTAAGAAAGATGACTTTTCGTTTAGCTGATTTCATACAGGTTATGTTAGTGTTTTGGTTTTGATATTTTCTGCTGTCGAATGAGTTGCCTATAGTCAACCCACAAAATTCAAATATTTGTTTATAATTTTATACACTTTATCAATTTTGCAGTGATAAACACTGTATTGGAATGTTGTTTACGTTTTTTTAAGTACAAATGTACTAGTGAGTGTTGGCGAAATACAATTTGATAGCAATTTAAGTTTGTAAAAGTTTTTATAATAAAAAGAACGAAAGAATAAAGTACTTCTTTAACTGCAAAGTGGGAGAAAAGAAACGTTACAAGCGTCGGGAATAGATAAAGCGTTGAAAAATAAATAAATGACTTTCGGTCGCGGCGTTTGCGGGGCGTAGAATTTTGTAAATGACCTCCATTTCGTCGCCGTCGCCGCGAACTCCAATATTAATATGTCACACACTTGCGCCATTTTGCAAAAATAAGAACTGTGATGACATATTGTCGCAGTAGAAAGGGTACCTTAGCATCCCAGATTCCAGCATCCAGGATATCCAGGCACGCGACGGGTCGTTAGCTACGTGACTTTCATTTCTCAAACTAAATAAACGTTTTATTATTTCAAATCGTGATGAATTCGCTTTTCGTGCATAGATGGCGCACCACTACGTCACAAACGTCACATCCGGTTAAACCTAACCTAGAACCACTTCTATTTAAATGTAACAAGCGTAAAACTCAAATAATTGCCTTTTGTTTGTGGAAATTAAAGAATAAAATCATGCGCGCTCGGAATATGAAGTTGAATAGTTGTAAAATATGCAAATTGCATTATTCTCAGCGACGTGTATCATTCCGAGCAATTAAAATCTCAACGCGCACGTAAAAAATGCTCGTTTTATATTACATACAGTACAAAAATAAAAACGAACTTAATAGGATCTAAAAATTAATGTTTGAAATCACATTCGCTCAGTTTTGACCCGCGTCGCCATCTTGTTTTTATGTGCTCAACGGGAAAATTACGTAACACAATAAAACTAATAAGAAAAACGTCGCACGCTATAAATCACGCATGCGGGGCATAATTTTCTTGTTAAATCTCGTTTACGTGTGTTAATATTTTCCGTGCTGTCGGACATTAGCGCGCGCTGGCCGGCTACATAAATAAAAATTGTTTCCGTATTAAGCACGCGCATATGCTGCAACAATAACAACTATCAGCAGCGCGACAAAAACAAATATGGCGTTAATGGTCCCCGCGCGCCATTTTGACACGCACCATTAAAAAAATGTGTGTTTTAAGGTTATATACTGTATTCTAACCTCCACGCCCGGTAATAATAATAAAAAAGACGAGAATGTTGATTCTTAAAATCAATTTCGATTTGAATCGTACCTTTTCGCGTGTAAATGCTTAACTTTTCCATTCGAAGCCCACAAGCGCATAAAAATAACACGAACTTTTCCAAGTCATAACACGGGTGGGCCATCATTACGCCGACGACATTTTTGAACCCAATTCTCACAATCCAACACCTAGCCGTTTTGGGAGAATAACATAAAAAGTCGATAGGAACATACCAAATTGATTTCTAGGTTGGAATAGTTCAAAATTGAGGTTACGTAGTTCGTTTGAATTTCTCGCGTGTGTTTCGTATCGCTTTGTACAGTAGCAACGCGCGCTAAAGGGTGAATTGATGTTGCAGTAGAAAGGGGACTAAACGCCAAGAGTTTCGAAAAGGGACGCTGCGCCATTGAATTTTATCGAATTTCGAAACTGGTAGCAATATACGCGCTAGTGATGGAAAATCCAAGAACAAGAGACCCACAACCCCGCAAGAATCCTTCTCGTGAATGTGTCTCATGAATAAACGTGACGAAGATGACCCGGACGATCGTGGAGCGTCCCTCGTCGCTTGACCTTCTTTAAGTGCCCCGAGGCGCAAACCTTTTCTTTGCCTTTTCATTTTCCTACTTTCCGACCGGTCAAATTGAAGCGAATAACAGTTGTACGCGTTGTAAAAACTAAATCATACAAACCGGGGGGATTTTTAAGTTGTTGTAATGTTGCAATAGTGGCGAATGTTAATAAATGTACATATATTGCGCGGGTTTTGAAGCGGAATTTTTTCGTGCTTGGAAATATGTCAGTTTAGGAAACGTGCGAATGATTGATGATCACTTGAGGAGGGAAATTTTACCCTCGGAAAATTTGTACCCAAGTACTTCGAGACTTGATCGACAAGTATCTGTTAAAGACCTTTAAAGATACTCACACCGTATACACTCACCCCTAATGCACTGAGGGTGTATTTCATTACATTTGCCATACGTGAATGTGATTTATTTGATGTTTACAGTGTCAGTTTTTCTTAAAACAGCGCAAAATGTAAAATTTGTCGAAAAATTGAACTTCAAACTTTAATTATTCATAAACTATTAGAGATAATTTAAAATTTTAAAAGATTTTGATAGGAAATAGGTAACACTATTATTTGTCAATATATGATGGTAAAATAATGGAAAATAACAAAATGGCAGCGATAAAACATAAAATAATTGCGTAGTTTTTAACGTTTTTGCAATAATTTAAACAATAATGAATATTTTACTTTATTTTAATTGAGAGCATTAATACAATTGAGTTTAAGCTATGTTCTTAATTTGAACAAAATTGAGTAAGTATTTTTGAGGAAATAAATAAATTTAAGTAAAAATGAGAATTTTTGATAAAACGTAAAATTAACCAAAATTTTGAACTTTAAACTCTAATTAATAATAAACTATAAAAGATATTTTAAAATTTCAACAAGATTTTGATAATAAATGTTGTGGACTATTATTTTCAAGATATGATGGTTAAATATTCGAAAATAACAAAATGGCGGCAATAAAACTTAAAAAAATTTTCGTATTTTTACATTTTTATCATAATTTACAAAATTATGAATATTTTTACTTTATTTTAATTCCGGGCATTACTACATCTTAGTTTAAGTGATATACTAAATTTGAACAAAATCGAATAAATACTTTTTGAGAAAAATAAAAAAATTACCTGAAAAATTGAGCAATTTTACCCAAAAACACAATTCCGGTCAAATTACACCCTGAAATTAAATAAACTTTGTGCTTATGTTACCGAATTTAAATTAATCGCATAGCCTGCGTAGTTAATAACAATGACCCAACAACAACCCGCTTCCCGAAGGGCCAATCAGTGCGCGTCCCACGCTTTAAACTAAAATCCAATCGAAACCAATAGCAACCAATATATCCGCATCATAATTCGATAATTATGAGCGCATGAAAGCATTGTTTCCACAATTCACGCACAAAATACGTAAATGTCGGGGACGCACGCAATTTTCCGTCGGTGGTTTCGTCGGATTGTTTGCTTTATTAGACAGTGCCGAACGTAATTGTAAACAAATTATTCGGGTCAAACAGAAACTCGGATAATAATCTAATTGAAAGCCGGTCGAGTTAATAAGATATTTTATATTAGAATGCGCAAACAAAATTAAGTGCTGTTAATGTTGTTGTGGATCAGTAATGTGAAACATCAATATTTAAATATGCTCGGTGCGGAAACAACGCAAATATAAAAACAAAGTGTTCGATATCGCCATAACAGCAAACGATTTTTGGGGCTCATGAATAAAATCGCCGTAAACAATATTTTCGCTTTCCGTCCGCTCTGCCCCTTTATTTCTTTTACATTTCTTCCTATTTGTATACATAATATTTTTTTGTCTTATCGATGAGTGAAAATCTTTTCCCGGTGTTTGTTTTGCGTGTGTGTGATTGGGGCATTTGCACTTTTTTCAATATTTCGCGATATTTTGATTTTTATTTCTTCCGCTCGGTGTTTTTATGTTATGAGACTTTTACTTTTACTTTCGCGTGATACGGGAAATACTTTTCGGAGGATGGGATTGATATGTGTGTGAGGGTGGTCCGGGCGTATATTTCGCCGGAAATCCATCGTCGGCAAACTATGAAACGAACGTCAGTGGCGCGCACGTCCTCCGATATATTGCCTTTCTGTTTCTGCTCTTCTGCACTGCAAACCAGACTCCATATCGAAATTACGCACAAGTTAATCACCAAAATCATATTTTTCGTAAATACTACTTGAAAATGTTACAATTTTTTCAAAATCCCGCCATTTAAAAAGTACGCAATACATAACCTCAAAATAAGGCACTTTTATTCTCCATTAAATTCTCTTTCTAAAACCGTTTTGTTTATTATTTTATGATTATTGGTTGCTGAATTATAAGAACTTAAAAATCAACAACCAAAATAAGTAGATTTATTTAAAGAAAATACAACTTTCGACAAAAACCACGGTAAAATTTTATTTTTTATTGTTTGTGACTTCAAAAGAAATTAAAGTTATACTACATTAAATTCTCTTTATATAAATGTATATTTTATTATTTTATGACTATTTGTTGCATATTTACGGGGATTTAAAAATGAGTCACTAAAATAAATTGAATAAAATCGAAAAAAATCATTTTTACAAAATGCGTATAACTTTCGCAATTTTTGTAAATAGCATCAAAACTCTTCAGGATTATTAGGAATTAAATTTTCTTTCTGTAAACATTTTGTTTATTATTCTACGTCTTTTGATTTCGGCGTTATGATGACTTGAACATGAGCTACTAAAATAAATAGACTGAATTTAGAAAAATACAAGTTTTGACAAAAAGCGCGCCGCATTTTTGCCTTTTGTTGCTGTTAAAGCTTTTAAATATTTCTTCAGTGTGCAGTGTTTCGACTTGCCCGTTCGCGGTGCAGACGCCATCCATTTATTATAATGGCCCAAAGGATAAAAAGCATTTTAAAGCAATCCGCTTTATGCGCACGGAAGGAAAGCCGAACGAGGGCCTACAAAAAAGAGGTTTATTTTTCATACGTCATATATTTCATGCCCGTAATTTATTTAATTCGCCGGACATAAAACAAAAAGCGAGCTCATACACGAAAACAAGTAGCAAGATGTACATTTTTCATGAGGGCCAGACGCACGCAGACGCACGCCAGAAATAAAAACGTGAAAGACTTGAAACAAAGTAATAAAAAAAAGCGAAGAACAAAAACGTGTTAAAAGATGCGCAAAATTTAAATGACACATAAACGCAGGTAATCATCTCCATTAGGCTTAGAATTTCACGAATTGTTTATGTTTTTTGCACCTTTATACGAATTTAAATATAGGAAATAAAATTTCGAAAAGGACAAAAAGATGCACATTTTTTAGTTTTTAGCGAATATCTTCTAAACTAAATAATATAATTAACAACGAATTATAGTATATGAAAGATTGAAAAATTCTCTATAAACTAATATTATAAAATCATTATATTTCCCGAAGTAAAAGGTCCAAAAACCTTATTAAAAGTGCTAAAAAGTGAATTTTTTATTTTTGCCCATATTTTTTTCAATTGCGAGTATCTTGTAAATTAAAAAAGATAGACAAAAACGGATTTCAATTCGTAATTTGCGAAAAATTCTCTATCAGATAAACGTTAAATTGATAATTTAACAATGAAAAAATAATTGATAAGAAAAAATGTGTAAATGCGTTATGTTTTTTCGAGAATTTTTGATAATGAATATCTTCTAAACGAAAAGAGATAGCGTCTAGCGGATTGAAAATTTTGAAAGATTGGGAAATTCTCTATAAGATTGGATGATAAAATAATTATATTTCCTTGAGTAAATGTTCCAAAAACGCAACGAAAGTGCAATCAAGTGAAATTTTTCAATTTTTGTCCATTTTTTTCAATTGCGAATATCTCGTAAGCAAAAGGAGATAGACAAAAACGGATTTCAAATTCTTAATTTTCGGAAAATTCTCTATAAACCCAGTGGTTGTACATTTTTTATAAGTAGAAAATTTTCATGTAAATTTTGAGCAAAACTTAATTTTGTGTAAAAAAATCTATAAAACAGTCAAACGTGACAAAATGTTGAACCAAAATTGAACTGATGCAAGATTCAATGGAAATAAATCCCAACTTGTCAGTCGGAAACGTTGTCGTGGCAGCATTGCGTACGCTAATTGGCGAAATACCTAAAAGCTCGCGTGCCCGGTTAATAACTCACAAACGTGTGCGGTTTGTGTGTAAGCCCAAACGAATGTGATTTACGATTTTGATTTATAGCCGCCTCACGTATATCGCAGTGGCTTTATTTTAATAAGCTTGTCGTGGACGGATCATTTCCGGCTCTATCAATTCACCTCGGATTATTCACATTCATCCAAAAACATAAAAATATCTGCGCAATTTCTCAAAAGAATTTTGTGATTCACTCCGAGTGCAACTGAAACCAATGGTGATCAATTTTAATCCAATTTTCCGGGTACGCATATTTCGCCGAATACAATACAATGCACACATAAAACATAACGCGCATGAAATCCGAAATTATTATCCTGGCCATTAATGCCCGACCGGCATCCAAAAGCGATCCGGCGCAATGAGGTCCCCGCGTTTATTCTTGGGGCATCCGGCTCGTTAAAACCATTCTTCGCCACTTTCCGGCAACTGTCACACAGTGGTCCGCTGGCGGCGCCCCGGCTGCAATTGATTTCGTTATAAATTCTGATTAATATCTATGAGCATGTTGACGGCCGGCCGACGATTTGTATATGGATTTTCGATCGGTGGTCAGCTTGCATTCATTCGGTCCATGGCACATATCCTCTTTCCGTACATCCTCCGCCATTTTGTGTGTGCATGTAAACAACGTCATGCAAATATAGCGCGTGGGCTATTCTGTAAGCGCTTGCTCAATGGGTACGAATGTGGCGCTTTGACAGGCGGGGCGGCCATGTTGGTAATTTAGTAGCACACAACTGCGGTAACGTGATAATAGGCGGACAGTTAAAACTGATGAATGGTAAGAATCAATCAATACGGACACTAAAACGGTTAAATATTGACTTCAATACTTGCTCGACATTGAAAAAAGTTATATTTTGACATTTTTGAAGTGAAAACTTCTTTAGAATCGTGACTTCAATATTAATAAAACGACACTAAAAACAAATAAACGTATTTGTTTATATGGTTTAGACTGCGAGAGAATAAGAGAACACATATATACAGTGTCTCCAATTATCTTCGTCTCTTCTTTGTGCGATGCTTGCCACAAGGCAATTGATTCTAAATATTTTCTGAATATCGTAAAAAACGCGACTAAAAGTGCTAAAAAGTTACATTTTTCAATTTTTGTCCATTTTATTTAATTGCGAATATCTCGTAGACTAAAAGAGATAATTAAGATCTGATCGCAGCGTCTTAATCTACGGACTCATCTCTATAAGATAGGCTAGTTAAAACGGAAATCTGAGAGATGAAATTTTAATTCTTAAGAAAAAATTGCCAAGGGGGGGTGCTTGATACTTTTTTTCGACGATTTTTGAAAATTTATATCTCTTAAACTAAAAGCGATAGCAACCAACGAACTGCTGATTATGAAAGATTTGAAAATTTTCTATCAGATAAAAATATAAAATAATTTTATTTCCTACAGTAAAAGGTTGAAAATCGCGACTAAAAGTGCTAAAAAGTGACATTTTTCAATTTTTGCCCATTTTATTCAATCGCGAATATCTCGTAAACTAAAAGAGATAAATAAGATCTGATCGCAGCGTCTTAATCTATGGACTATGGTCTATAAGATAGGATAGTTAAAACAGAAATCTGAGAGATGACATTTTCATTCTTAAGAAAAAAATTGCCAAGGGGGGGTGCTTGATACTTTTTTTCGACGATTTTTGAAAATTCATATCTCTTAAACTAAAAGCGATTGCAACCAACGAATTGCTGATTATGAAAGATTGGAAAATTCTCTATCAGATAAAAATATAAAATAATTATATTTCCAATAGTAAAAGGTCGAAAATCGCAACTAAAAGTGCTAAAAAGTGACATTTTTCAATTTTTGCCCAATTTATTCAATCGCGAATATCTCGTAAACTAAAAGAGTTAAATAAGATCTGATCGCAGCGTCTTAATCTACGGACTATGCTCTATAAGATAGGATAGTTAAAACTACGATTCCCTACGATTTTTAATTGCAAAGATCTTTAAATTTTTCTAAAAACATTTTTTCAACATTTAATTAGACATTTTTTACATTTTATTATTATTTAATATTTGCCAAAATATTAAAAATTTTAAAAATTTGATATTGTATGAAGATGGAACAATAAATTCTCTTTAGAATGACATATTAACTAACCCTATACGACTTCTACTTAAAAAGATATTCCAATTTTTCTAAAACATTTTTTCTTTTCTTAATTAAAACTATTGTAAACTCTCCCCTAACCACACGTGCACGTGCTCGTGACAAATGAAGCAAAAATTAACCACCACCCATACCTGATACACTCTTGATAAGACACGCTTGCACTTTGCACCCCTACGGATATATTTAGTACGTTTAGCACCCTCCACAATCTTCCCCGTCAGTGATTCCTACATTTTTGTTTGATTTCTAGCAGCACCCCAAGCGAACAGCTGTGAATAAACGGTAGGGGATGATGTGTCGCATGATTATGTGTGTTTTATCGTCAATCGAGATAATTAAATACAACTTGGGGTTGCGGAGGTTATGCCGAGAGTTGTGAGTTGTCGCATCTCAAGAGGGTCACAAGCATCGCGGATTCCCCCTCGCTTAAAGCTTAACAGCGCCATAACCTCACTTTCGCTTAGCGCAGTTGTGTGTGACAAACACCAGATACTAGTAACAAAAAGAGGTTATGTTGTCAGCGTTTTAATTTCTCTTTTCTCCTTGTGTGGCATTTGATCTCTGATCATTTACGAGAGTAAACCGAAAATAGAGAAAATAGAGAAAAGATATAGACGTAAAGCGAGCACTTGCATGGCATGCACTTAATTCGGAGGCGGTGGAGGCGGCAGTAGTATTCGTATGCTATGCTGGTGGTGGCGGCGGCTGGCGTGCGCTCCCGTCGAGTTTTAATTGGCGAAACTTTCCGGTCACTTGCTCCGCACCGCATTCCGCGACATGCACACGCCGCCTCCGCCTCCGCCGCCGCCGCCGCCACAGCTGATGCTGATGAAAAACATTCGCGACTTAAACTGCGCTAAAAGCGTTTCTGCATTCATTTAATTAAAACGTGTTTAAACAACCGTGCCCGTTATCATGGGGGCGGTCAGTTGGATTTAAATAAATTTTACCAACTGTGAAATGTTTTTTTTAAATCTTATACATAGAAAAAAACAGAGAAAACAGAGAAAAAATAAGTTTTTACTTTGATTAATTTTTTCTTCTTCTTGTTTTCGTTGCGGTTCATTAAAGACGTGGTTAATTAATGACGCCCTTTAACATAATGAGCCGGCACTTGTCCGCCGCCGCCGGGGGTGGGTTCTTGGACTACCACAGCGCGCATTTCTCCGCCGGATGCATGTAGGTATCGATCGGGCAGCGGAAGTCTTCCGCAAAGTCCTCCGCGTTTCGCAGCGGGCCCACGACGCGCAATTTCGAAATGGATCGTGCCGATTGTGGCGGCGGTGGCGGCGGTAGCGGTGTCTGCTGGCGGTGGCATTCGTCCATCGCGCTTGCGATCCAGTACAGCTGTCTGGTGGAGTACTGGAGTCCTGGCAGGCGTCCTTCTGACTCGTGCGAATCCAACCAGGATATGTACGATTTGTATGCGATTAATTTACTGAAGAGCACTGCGACGTCATCTAGTTGAGTTTCCGATGCATTTATCTTAAACAATCAGAAAAATTAAGATTCAGAATTAAATTATTTGGTTTTAGAAAAAAAAAAAATAGATGAAAATTTTGATTTGGTATGGTTTTGAAAAATATTTGAAGAAAAATTTTATGTTGAATTTGTTTTATAAAATATTTGATGGAAAATTTTATTCAGAATTAGTTATAGAAAATTTTGATGAAAACTTTGAGGCAAAATTAGTTTAAAAAAATATTTGATGAAATATTTGATTTAGAATTTGTTTTGGTAAAAATTTGAAGAAAAATTTTATGTTGAATTTATTTTATAAAATATTTGAAGGAAAATTTTATTCAGAATTAATTTTAGAAAAACTTTGAAGAAAAATTTGATTTTGAATAAATTATTTTTAGTTTCAGACAAATATTTGAAGAAAAATTTGATGCAAAATAATATTTTTGCAGGTTTTTGCACGTTTTTGCTTTGGTTTAAAAAAATTGAAGTAAAATTTGATTCAGAATTACTTTTAGAAAAAAATTTGATAGAAAATTTTATTTAAAATAAGTTTTTTGTCAGTTTTAGAGAAAAATTTAAATCAAAATCTGCATTTTTCTGTATTAAAAAAATATTTGATGATAAATTTGACTCAGAATAGGTTTTGGTAAGTTTTTGACAAAAATTTGATGGAAAATTTGATTCAAAATAAGTTTATCATTAGTTTTACTAAAAAATTTGATTCTCGGTTTAGTTTTAACAAAAAACAAATTATTTTTCCCAAAGTTCCTAATAAAAACCGGTTAACCACAGAATTAATATTTAACAAAGCTGGTCCAGTGATACAATTACAACCGGCGTCTTGCCTTAGGCGGAAAAAAGTCCGCAAGCCGTAGAAGTGGTAAATTAACCCACTGAATGTGTAACGCGAGACGCAGTAAAATATTAATTGATGGCATTCGTTGCGTCTGCAAACAAAAAGTTGCCGCGCCGGTTGCGAATCGCAGACAGTGAAAAACGGAATTAGCGCCGCCGGTTTTTCGCTTTTCGGCGTTCACACGAATGTGCGTGCACAATGAATTTAAACGTCGCGAGAGCCGCGCGTGTCTAACGGCGCGCATTTAGATTAAAGTCATTAAAACGGAATTAACTCGACTCGGCACACCGTAGCGCAGCCCAGCCCGCCGTGCGGAGAGAGAGATTAATTCGCTAAAAATTTCCCTGGCGGGCGCGCGGTGTCGCAGTGTGGAGCGTCGTTTTCTATTATTTGAGACGTTTGCTTTCGCCGACCGCAATCATCGCCACGCTAGGGGCGTTCAACGTGTGCGCGCTCGAAAGAGATTGATTTATGCGCGCCGCGAAATTAACATGTTGATGCTCGTAATTTATTAACGCAAGCCTGCCGTGGAGGCAGCGGGCAAATATTGGATTGTGGGTCATGCGGACTAATTAAATATTTTATTGAATTACGAAGACTAATTTACCATTGCAATGAATATTACATCTTTGAATTCTCAAAAAGTAACCAGAGTTTGTTTTTTGAGACTTAGAATTTTTTTTGAGACTCAGAATAAAAATTTTCAAATTTAGATTTTTTTTACTGAGATTTTTTTTCAATTTAAAAAATATTTTTGCCGCCTTAAAATTTTTTTAGTCGTAGAAAAATTTTTTTAGACTCAGAATAAAAATTTTCAGACTTGAAATTTTTTTTTTTGACTGAGATTTTTTTTTCACATTTTGCCCACTTAAAATTTTTTTAGTCTTAGAAAAATTTTTTTAGACTCAGAATAAAAATTTTCAAAATTTTTTTTTCAGTTTTAAACATTTTTTAAGTCTTAGAATTTTATGTCAGACTCAGAATTTTCTTCCAAAAATTATTTTTCCTAAAAAAAACCTGAATACAAATAATTTCCCCCCCAGTGCATTGACCGTTGAACGAAAAACATAGCGAGTGAGTAATCTCGTAAAAAGAAGACACATACTCGACGCCAGTGACTTTTATTCGCCGATATAAAATCCGAATTAGCAATAACAGTGTAGCGCCAGTTAGGAAGCGCTCGTGTATGGAAATAAATTTCGTTTTTCTTGCGATAGCCGGATGGCTTTAAAACGCAGACGCACGCCGCTCCCCGAGTTAAGTTATTTTGCTATCCGGGCGCGTCCGGACGTTTCCTGATTTATTTTATGATTATTATGAAGAGCGAGAGCAACGCCAGCACTGGCGGTAGCGGACGTGACCGAGCGACCTAATAGACGCCGCCGTCGTTGCCATTAAAAAGCCGCAATTAACATAATTCGTTTCTGCTTGCCCGGCGCTTCCACAATTCGATTTTTCTTTTTCAAAAAAGTTAAAATTTACAAAAAATTATATTAAACACCTAAAATATTATTATAATTTATAAGTTTTGTTGCTAAAAGTTTCGAATTTCTTTGAATGTGCCGCTTTTAATGTCGTCGTAAAAGTTACGTTCGTTAATATTCGCACTGGCTGTGATTATAATTGTCGGTGGGGAACGTGTTAACATCGCCGTTTCCGCGTTTCTACTTCTTGCACTCGGTGCGCGCGTTGAGTATTTTCCGGAATTCCTGCTTTCGAAATGTAGGGAATGCATAATGTGGCCGTACACACGTTGCGAAATTTAATTTTGCGTAGAAACAGATTTTAAACTTAAAAAAAAGCGACTTACATTAGGGCCGAATCCAGGCACGTGAAATTGTTCGTATTGTTTAGTTAAACAACGTGTTTTATTGTCATAATTGAAGAGACTTTGTGAAGTTGACCATTCGCGGAGTTCACCATGAGAATCATAACGTCGTCCTTCGAGGAAAACTTCCGATAGTTGATGGGCTATCAGTGTTCCCAAAAGACCAAAGTTCATGTACATGGGTCGTGATGCATCGATGTAAAATGGTTGAAGATAATCAGATGGCAGCACTGGAAAATATATTTTACTTTGTGTTAATACCCGGCGCCTCCACTTTCAAAAAAATATTTTTTGTAATTTGTTTGTTTTTGACTTATTAACGTCTAGACTCGTGTCCAAACACTAAACTAAATCGCTGATTGTGTGGAATTGTTGTAAATTTGCATACCCAAGTAATTATTTATGACCGAATATTCTATCTCTCGATATTCGTGCTGAACAACCGGCTGGCGTAGCTTGCGATACTTAATGTCGGCGTTGGCCGCCTGTAGAGCCCTCAGGTTGGCCACGAAGCGGTCTTCGGCAAAGTCGAGGCGCTCGTAAACTTCCGGCCATGTCGGCGGCGCGTCCGGTGGCGCGTGGGCGACGTAGTCTCGAACACTCGCGAGCTTTTCGAGCGCCACACGCCGTGCGTCTTCGTCCAACCAATCCAGTTGGTCGGCGGTGTTAATAAGCTGCTTCCGGATTGCGTCTACGACTTCTTTAGCGGCGCGTTTCACGTCATCGGTTACGTATCTATGCACGTAGCATGTTTCTACTGCGTCTTCCATTCTAAAAGTAAAAAATAAGGAAAATTACAAAAAATTAAAAATATTGAATTTTGATTGCGATTATTTCGGAAATTAAAAGTGATAGAGAAGAACGGAGAAAAGATTCAGAATCTAAAAAAAAATCTTTACCATTCTATAAAAAACACATGGAAATTAGATGATTAAAATGAGTCGAAAAAAAATAAACAAAAAGTGGAAAAATGAGTTATTGCTTTTTTGCAACATTTTTGTTGCCAAATATCTTTTAAACCAAAAGAGATAGCAACCTACGGATGAAAGAATATGAAAGTTTAGAAAATTCTTTATCGGATGAAATAATAATATTTATAAATTTTGTAGCATAAAGGTGTCAAAATCCTGACTAAAATTACTAATTTGTAACTTTTTTCATTTTTTCCAATTTTTCAATTGCAAATATCTCGTGAACTAAAAATGATAGAAAGGAATGAATTGTGGATTCTGAATCTAGATGAAATTCTTTATAAGAAAAATGATTAATAATAAAAAATTAATTTACGTTTTGCGAATTAATCTTGAGCAAATCTCACGACGATTCCAGCGTGAATGAAACTTTGGAAACTTTGCGAGTCGTTCATGTAAGCCACCCTTTTCGATGAAATAAGGTGCGTAGGTTTGTACAATACGCCAGCAGAGGTAATTCGCCAGGATTCTAAAACACGACATGATTATTTCATGCGTCGGGCAAAAAGCGTAAGCTGTGTGCGAACTTTTTCGGCGTTCGGTGGAGCAAATCGATGAGACGTTTGAGCTCGTCGACGTTCGGCACATTGACAAACTCGTCGGCGCTTAATTCCAGCCCGGGACCGAGCAATTCGTTGATGTAAGCACGCCAGGACAAATTTGGGACGTCGTGTTGCAGCTGAGTTATCGAACGCGGATTAAAAACATTTATAGCTTCGTTACTTCTTGTCGCCTGACGAATCTACACACAAAAGTTCAAATTAAACTTGTCGCTATAAATTACGCTGAGTTATTGGTTACTTTTTTTAATTGTTCAAGAAACTCCATAATATCGCGCAAGTCGCGTTCGGCTCGCATGCGATCCACGCCGAAAAACAGCGCTATTTCCAGCGAATATTCGAGGAGTAACTTCTTATCGCTTTCGGTATTGATTCTGGCATCGTCCAAATAGTCATTTGATATGCGTATCTTTACATAACAAAAAACATAGTAATAACTAATCAAAATCGGTGGAAAATTGATCAATAACATCAAATTTCTCCAAAAAATGTGTAAAAAACTTAAATTTGTGATGAAAAATTGATTCAAAATTGATAAATGAATTTTTACCGAAAGAATATATTTTGTAATATCATATTGATTGGTCTGAACGCCGGTTTGAATGAAGATATCCTCAAGGATGCCGTTGCGTGCGAGATGGTGCACGGTAGTGATCCAATCGAAGCGGTCCTCACGCCAATTGCCGCGTTCCAACATTGGCCAGCCGCCGATATCCCGGAGCGCAGCCCTAATCCCGTCCGCCGTCACGCCACCCAAGACGGTGAAGGTCTCGTTGCCGGTCGGTTCGTGCATGCACGAGCGGTAAAAAGTTTTAATCTTCGACAGCGTTTTTGTATCGTACGGATTCGGCGGCTCTTCGATCATGTCCCTGACGGCGTTCGCTTTCGCGTCGTCGAAATTGTCCTCGTTTTCGTTGTACGCGCGCCGTTTTTCACCTTGTGCGAGGAGGCGGCGTATGCCGCCGCACGCAAAGTCGTAAAAATCCACGCAGGGATCTACGGACTGATCTAGGGTTGTCATTAATTCATTTGCGGATTGGACACAACGGCGGGAGGTGCAAACGTCTTCAGAAGCTAGAAAATTATGGAAAAATTGGCGAAAATATTTTAAAAATTAAAAATTTTTTTTTAAAAAAGTCAAAATTTTATGAAACATTGTTGAAAATTATGAATAAGTGTTTCAAAATAGTTTGAAATTACTTAAAACTAGTCAAAACAGCATAAGAAGTGACTACTAGTCACTAAAAATTGATTGAAATAAAAATGATCAAAAATGACTGAAAAAATGAACAAAAAATGATCAAAAAATGATCAAAAACTTATTTTAAATTGTCAAAAACTATGAAAAACTATTAATAATTCTTAAATAGATATATATCCATTCAAAATTTGGTCAAAATCGATTAAGAACTAAAGAAAAAATGACAAAAACTTGGCCAAAAAACGTCTAAAAAGTGTTAAAAATCCGTCAAACAAAAAACAACAAAAAATCATCCAAAAACCAACAAAAAAATATTTAAAACAGTTACTTGTATAGATAATGAAGAATAAAATCGCCACAGCAAAAATGGTTGCGGTCGCAAGCGCTGTGAAAAACATGCAACGTTTCTCCATCTCGCGCCGCTCCCGACTCAGTCGCCTGACCGCCTCCAGCGTTCCGCAGTTTATACCCTGCGTTTCCCTCGACGCTCGCGATAAATCTTCACCTCGCCTTTATTCCCTTCTTCTATTCGACGATTTCTCCTCTTTGCTTTTTTTCTCTCCTCTTTTTCCGTGTTCTGCGGCACAAATATTCAAAAGAAAACAACACCTTCAGATCGCACTGATAACAAACACAGCACACAATGGACACGTCGCCAAAGATCACACAAATGAAATAAATTACTACTTGTATTCACTCGTAAATTTCACGGAGAACAAAAGATGCGTTTTTAATTGTTGCACTGCGATGTTTTAGTGGCTACGCGTTGACGAGTTCAAACGGCGTCTGACTGTAAACTGGTTTTTATTCGAGCGTTGCGACATCGTTAATTAATTGTTAATTAAAGACGACAATTGTTTGTGCGCTGTGCGGTGTTGTGGGTGTAGGTGTACGCGATGAAGACGTGTAGGTCAAGGCGGGCACTGGTGACTCGACATCCGGATTGAATCAAGTGTAATTTAGCTTAATTGAAACATTTATCAAACTGTAAAACAAAAAACAACACAAATGTTTTTCTTTTTAAATCTGATTCAAAAGTTTTTATTTTTATTTCAAAAACGTTTAAAAATCAATTTTTGTTCTATAAATAAATGTTGACGTTGTTCCCAATAGTAATCCACATTTTTTTCGTTTTTTCGATTCAATATGTGCGATTTGTGCAGACGCGACGAAAAGCTCTGTTTTTCCCTCTGGCCGCAGGCGCAATGAAAGCGAAAACGATACATTTGCAATTCGTAAAAAGCGAAGAAAAAAAAGTTCATTCAGTTTAGCTTTCTTTGCACACTTTGCATATTGCTACTAAACGACGCGCCGCTGAAGAAAACCGGGCAAAAAATCGAAGAGCGCATTCACACTTGTTCACTTGAGTCGTTTTTTTTTTTCTTAGGTAACACGATCCCACTACACTGCTGGGTAAGTGGAAAATATTTATAGCAAATGGCGGGCGGTGGCAACGGCGGTATTTTGATATTCAGCAGATCGTCGCCGACGTAGAGGAGAAGGAAACGTGTGGGGGTGGCCTGTTGGTCGTCGTCGGAGCCGAAGGAGCGCGCCCGAATAAATCAAACAGTATTAAGGGGATGATTTAGCAGCCGAAGTATTAATACTGGAAGTAACGCGCGTTTAATATTTAATATTAACATAATTCGTCGATATATCACCAGGAAATATGAAAATTGAATTTTCCATATTATATAATGACGTGCACGCGCGCCGCCCGGCTTTTTGTTTCCGCGCGTGCAAATTTTCATTTTCACATTACATCATCTAAAACTAGAGGAATATACTTTTCACCTTTTAGAGTCATTTTGTGCGTTGTGGGAGTGGAAAAATTGTGAGTGAATACAGCACAAGGTTTGTGTGTTTTGTGTGTTTTGTGAGCTTTTAGAAAATGTCGAGCGTTTCGGAATTTAAACGTAAAACCGAAATGTAAACATGTGACCCGCAGGGGTGAGGAATGGCGTTTTATAATGCAAGAGAGAGGAAAATCCTAGATTTCCCAGTTCTGGCGTCGTCATCATCATCAAGCTATGGTGAAAGCTCCGGCTGCTCAAAATAACGAACGTCGTAATTCCATTCACCGAGCTTTTTCATCCGGTTAACTCACGGCTGACCTGGGTATAAAGTAGGTTATGTTTGGTTTAAATACTTTTGGAATTGGTTTTTAAGTAATTATAAGTTAAATTTTAGGAAAATTAGTTTTTTTGCAAAAAAAGTTTTAAAAACTAAAAAATTGGGTAAATTTAGTTTAAAATAAAATTTGACCAAATTATTTGTTAAATTTTTAGTTGCCGAAAAAAATTTATCTAAAATTTTGGTAAATTTTGTTCTAAAAATTGTGTTTTTTTGTCGAAAATAAGAAAAATCGGCAAAATTTAAAATAAATTTCCAGAAAAAATTGGTTTTTGAATAAAATTACCTAAAATTTTGGCAAAATTTTTTGTTACCATAATATTTTACCTAAAATTTTCCAAAATAAAATTTTTGGTCAAAAAAATTAAAAATTTTCCAAAATTTGATCAAGTTTTTTATTAAATTTTTAGTTGCCGAAAAGAATTTATCCAAAATTTTGGTAAATTTTATTCTAAAAATTGTTTTTTTTTGTCAAAAATAAGAAAAATCTGCAAAATTTCAAAAAAATTTTCAGAAAAACTTGGTTTTTGAATAAAATTACCTAAAATTTTGTCAAAATTTTTTTTAACATAATATTTTTCAAAATAAAGTTTTTGGTCAAAAATTAAAAATTTTCCAAAATTTTGCAGAAATTTTAAGAAAAAACAAAAATTTCCTAAAATTTTTCTGCAAAAACCCAAATTTTTGGTAAATTCTTATTTAAAACTATAATTAAATTGTCTAGTTATGATAGTCGACACCAGAAGTAGATGACAGACAACGCTGACACCTTTTCAGCAAGGAGTTAATTAATAGCAGGCGGCGCCATTATCGCATGCATCCTGGCGTCCTGGCGTTCGTCTCGTGTTGTCTTCACGACTTGACACGTTACCACACCGTCACATATCAGGGCATGAACACTGTACACAGTGATGAGTTAAACGTTTAATGCGAGTCTACTGCCTGCCTGCCTGCACGTGTGCGGAAGAATGAAGGATATGAAACAAAGGAAGGATGCGCGCAAGAGCATGCATGATAGGAACCAACGCGTTTTGGCATTTTCGGGCCCGGCACTAGGCAAAGGCGGAGGAGAAGGCGGCAAATGCAATAACCTACAACTAGTACGGGTGCTGGTGCAGCTGGGAACGCGTGTAATTAGAATTCGAGCGTTTTGTGTGTACTTTGTGCTCGTCCTCGCACTTCTCGCACTCTCGTTTACAAGGATAATGGATTCACAAAGCAATACAAATAACCAAGCAATGTAATTAACTTTACAACTATTTACTTTTGTCAATTTTATGCAAATATGTGCATTTTCTATTTTCAACCCTTATTTTCAACCCTTAAAAATAAAAATATCCCCATAAAAATCACTCTATGTTACAATATAATTTATAAACTATAAAATTGTTAAGTCTTGTTAAAATATCTTGAATAGTTTTTGTTTGAAAGCGTAACACACACAAACTATCGATTACAACTTGTGTTTAACTAATATATTCCAAGGATAATCAAGTCCTTAAGGTGTAATTATGTAAATTGTATCTATTACATCCTAAACATGCATATTAATTAATCAAATTAACGTAAAATAACTTAATTTGTTCAAAAATTGATTTTTTTTGCTTTAAAGGTCAGAAAAATAAAACCGGCTGATCAGAAAAGTGGCCGACATAAAGGACCCGGGTGTCGGTCCGTGTGCCTTCGAATTAGACTGATTGGACTATCTCTTCTAGTGGACCTACAAGAGCACCCCCAGTACGTGTCGACGTCCTCCGGTCGGCGGGCTTCCACTCGAGCGCGGCAAAGGTAAAAGTACGACGACCATTATTTGAGCTTTATGGTCGGGCCGGCGTCGTTCCGCACTTTATCGAAATAAATGTGCTCTCATTCCGCGCGACCGACTCTCCCTTCTTTCGCGCATTGTATTCTCGCATTGTGTCCTCAAGTTGCACTTCAATGCTTACAACTTACAAGCAAGAATTTTCAGGGAAGTAAAATTTACTATTTTTTCAAAATAATAACAAGATTCAAACCCAAGATTTTTGAAAAACTGATTTTTTGTCATTAAAAAATAAATTGTTTAAAGATTTGGGAAATTTTTCGGAAATTTTTTTTTCAAAATTTAATTTTTCAACATTTTTTGCAAAATTTTTGGTTGTCAGAAAAATATAGGACATATTTTGTTATAAATAAATAATTAAAAATTATATCGACATTTTTGAAAGCTTTTTTGGCAAAAAAAATTTGATTTTTCGAAATTTTTCAAATTTTTTTCAATAAATTTGATTCAAAAGAAAATTTTCCAAAATTTTTGGCAAAATTTTAGGTTGCCAGACTAATGTACTTTAAAATTTTGGTAAATTTTGGTTTTAAATAATATTTCCCAAAATTTTCAAATATTTTTTGTCAAAAAAGTAAAATTTTTCAAAATTTTTCAAAATTTTAAGAAAAAAATTGATTTAAAACAAAATTATTCAAAATTTTTAGCAAAATTTTGGGTTGCCAGTCTAATTTACTTAAAAATTTTGGTTTTAAATAATATTTCCCAAAATTTTCAAACATTTTTTGTCAAAAAAGTAAAATTTTTAAGAAAAAAATTGATTTAAAACAAATTTATTCGAAATTTTTAGCAAAATTTTAGGTTTCCAGACTAATTTACTTAAAAATTTTGTTTTTAAATAATATTTCCCAAAATTTTCAAAAATTTTTTGTCAAAAAAGTAAAATTTTTCAAAATTTTAAGAAAAAAATTGATTTAAAATAAAATGATCTAATTTTTTTCAAAACAATAATAAAAGTAGATATGGTGTGTGCATGTTTAATATGTAAATCGATTTGTTATTAGCGCTCACCGAGCAGGTGCGACCAATCGACGTCTTCAGCAAAGTTGCACGGAAACTTTCGGCCATCAAGTCACTCGCGGTGGCGGCGCACAAACTTTCCAACGCGCATATAACGATTATGATTATTACGCTCAACGTTCGTCCTGTTGTTCACGTCTTTGGTCAAATTTATTGTCAAACTTTGATTATGTAAGACAATTTTATCATATTACCTTTGCACCAATCTCAAAATAATTATTTTCATAACACACTAACTCTGATTCCACAATCCAGTTATGTAATTAAGTCTAAGGACGTTTTTGTGTTGTGTGTTGTTAAACTCAAAACACTAGAACGAAATGAAACGCAAAGGTTGCGTTAACGTTAAATGCTAAAAGGATTCAAGGATGCTTGTAGGTTGCGCCTAATGACATAAGGAACCGTGGCATTTTTTCGCACCTCTACTCAAAAGATTTGCATTGCGATAGTAACCCCTACAGAGAAGAAAAAAAAGTTTAATAATGCTAAAGTTATCAAAGCGAAAGGGTTCTTGATTGCAATGGCGTCGTTTGCAGTAAAGGCTTATTGTTTTTCTTTTTTTTTGCCTTTGTTTTGAGATACTTATGTGGCACAGTTGAAAATTGCAAAAACAAGTGCGCAATGAATAATACAAGACTTAAGGGCAGCAAGAAAGAAGAAAAACGCAATGGTTACCTGGTCGTTATATCAATTTATTTATAAACTTTTAAAGATATCAAGACAATCATTTGACTTTTATTCGTCGTAAATTCAAACTTTTATTAAAATAATTCCGCAGTGGTGGAGGCGCTGGGGGAGAC